CGACGATTCTTTGCTGGATAGTAACTCGCATGTTTCGCGATTTCGTCGGCTCTTTGGTGTCCGGATCAGTAGTATAGCCTCGTGGGAAAATTCGATTATGTTACAAATATTCTAAAATATTGTACGTGTAGTATTATTTGCATGAATACTACTGTATTGTGCATTCAACGAAGTTCAAGATTTACTTTAGTCGAGAATAACGATATTCGCGATTTCGTCGGCTCTTTGATGTCTGGATCAGTAGTATAGCCTCGTGGAAAAATTCGATTATGTTACAAATATTCTAAAATATTATGTATGTAGTATTATTTGCATAAATACTACTGTATTATGCATTCAAAATGATTATGCATTCATTTAATATTATATTAGGAGTGTAAAACTACTTAAAGCAAAATCCAGTAGCGATAGCTTCCAATAAATCATAAAAGAGTACATATTTCAGTTCTTGAACGTGTATCTACTTGTAACAAAAGCGTCTTTAATCGATAATCGCGATTTAAAAAAAAAATAGATCTCATATTAGGCAGCTTTGCGCTGATCAATTTCAATGTAATTTCCGTCGATCGAATAATCGCGAGGTCGCAGGACAACCTGAACTTCGTGATCGATCGTTCGATCGGTGAATCTAATCGGACACGCAGATGTGCCCTCGGTGCATCCGATTTGTCAGCGTCGGGCACGGTGTGCGCGCGTGGCTGCATACGGTGCTTCGTCAATAGTAGTCGATGAAGTAGTCCGAGAAAATGAGAAATCTTCTAGCGTCCTCGAAAATAATCCGAAGACCCCGTAGCCCGTCGGTAGCTGCCTGGCGCACTCGCGTAATTCGCGCTGGAAAATGCCGCGCGTCTGGCGCTGTTTGCACAGACGTGTTCCCGCGATTCCGATCGTCTGCGTTCGAGGAGACAACGGCCGCGTCTGTTAATCCTCTGTCCCGCGGCGAATGCGAGCCGACAGGGGCGAACGGCGGAAGACGAAGACGGATGGAAATCGGGAGGAGAGATAGAAAGATTAATAATACAGGAAAGCCGAAGCCCGCGCTACCCTCCGACGAGCTTTGCTCTGGCACTCTTCTGTTGCCAACAGTTAATCGATATAATACTCGGATATAGCCCGAGCAACGTAACGCTGCCGGCGTGTGTCTTCTATTAAGCTTTTGTGTACAAGCGCACGCAGCATCGTCGTCGGATGCGTTCGCATAACGGGTCAAGAAATGGCGCGCGCGCGTTCTGCAACCCTTGCACGGTACCTCTTCTAGGTAAAAATAAGACGGAAACGCTTACGACTAGACTACAGGTCTTTGTGCAAAATAATTTTCCAGTAGGCTCGAAATATAAATTGAGCAAAAATTAATTGTTGCTTTCGGTAATTTTGATAAGTCGAGAACAGTGTAACAATGTTATTAAATTCATGATATGTCCTGCCACGATTGCATAAAATCCGCAGTCTACTTATAAAATAAATTATTAATTTATTATTATATAGTAAAGCACGCGAACGATGTCACCGAAAAATCGATTCCATTTACTATTATAAAATGCATAGATTTTCAATAACAGCAAAGCTAGGCGCCGCGACAAATCCCTAATTGTGCAAAAGGACCTCCCTCGCCAGCAGAAACGCGAAAAGACCAGGTTCCTTCGGGACGACCGAACGGACATCGTTGCCCGGGTCCGTTCCGTTCGACGTTTGCGTCGCAGCCGCGATTTCCTCGAGGAAAGAACCGGGTTTTCGCGGAAACGTATTATTTCATCCTCGCCTGGTGCCACCTGCTGTTTTCTCACACTCCGCCGGAGCCTCGTCCAGAGTTTTAGAGCATCGCGAGCCAATATTTGCGCCGGTTAGCAGTCGGACTAATATTTGCGTGCGCGCTCGTTCGATGTAAACGAGACCGGTGCTCCGATCCGCGAGCGTCGATCGCGAGGATCGTGCTCGCGAGCGAGCGATCCGTGCGACGACGTCGCGGCGAGAAGAAAGATGCAGCCGGTGGCTAATCGCGAATGGGACCAGCTTTCTGGGGAACCGGGTTATATCGGCGAACACCGTGCGAAATTGGGCACCTGACGGTTTTCGTAGTTCGCTCCTTAACCGTTCGAGTGCCTACGACTCCGCTCACATGTCGGGAACCACTGTGCTTGCACGAGGATCCGCTCGAATTTTCGGACAACATGGAACTTTGAGGCTGGTTAATAAAGGGGACGGGCTTTGCTCTGTTTAACCCTTTGCACTCGAATCACCATTTGACTCTGAGGTCATTAAAATTGTTATATCACATTCCAACTTTTATATTAACAAGGTTTAGGTTTAGACAATTGTTAAAAGTGCTTAACAATCACGAGTCACCGCAAGACTCAATTTCATATGCATAAAATGCATATAAAATGCATAAAAAGGGGATACTATAAGTCAGAAAAATTATTTTAGATTTACAGTTGAAATGGCTTCGAGTGCAAAGGGTTAATAAAGGAAAAGACTGGATGACGCGCTGTCTAATAAGGGAGAAGACTAGATAAAGCTGTCTAATCATGGAAAAGACTGTTGTTCACCCCGCGAATGCAACGGGTTTTCATAGAACCATTGGATTAACAGTGAGCTCGATTTTTGGTTTAAGAGTGCGCTCGAATTTCGGATTAACCCTTCAACCGCAGGCAACGTTGAATTCTAAACATTCTGTAGAATTTATCGGACGAGACATTTTTTTCATTCAGGTTTATTTTACCGCTTCTTGTTAAATACAACGGCCACTTTTTCTAAACGTGTAACACGATATTAATGAAAATTCTTGTTCTCTTTTAATTATGCTTTTTACGTAATTCTTAGATCTCGTCTGCGTGACAAATAAAAATCGCGCGCGATTTAATTACCGCACGGGAGTTAATAAGGTTTGTTATTTAATTGCCAGTAATTTATAGTTATCTAATTAATTATAAATTAACTGTGATTTAATTAACGTGTTCCCATGTATCGGTGTAATTATTAGACAGCGGATCCTCGTGCAAAATAAAAATTGTTCGAATTAATTTGTAAAACACGAAAGTGTTCCATGAAAGTGACATTCCTTTTATAATAATGATTGGAAGTGTGAAAATATTGCAACGATATCCTCCCAACGACAAAATGTTGCGAAGATACGAGGATATTTAATTCATTTTGTTAAATCGCTCGAAGAAAAGTACATGTTCGAATCGAATGACTGTTCAGTCGTCCTCGCGCCATCTCGCTCTTGCGTTCGCGTTCGGCACACGTGCGCTCGCGAACGTCAATCTGTCTCGACCAGGCTGCCCGCCGCAGGGTAAAAGCGGCAGGTTACAACAGGTCGTCCATCGCTCGTCCCGATCAAAGCGACCGGATCGTTGCGGATTTTTCGAAATCGCGAGTTCACGGTGTCCTATCCGATCTGCCAGAAGTCGGTCTATCCGTAGGTTCGCTGTTAGATCTAACGCGCTATCGTTGTACTCCAATTTCGAGTGCTATGCTGCAGAGATTGTCGAGAAATGAAAGTAGACAGCAGCTAGTATGTACCTTGAATCTACCTGCCTATAGCAAACCCTATACGACTGCGAATTTTATGCGTTTTTAACGCATAAAAAAATGAATAGGTCTAATACAAAACCAAAGAGACAGTAAAAAGAATTTAAGGATATTGTTACATCATTTTCGACTGATTATGATTGCCAAAAGAGAANGGTTAATAAAGGAAAAGACTGGATGACGCGCTGTCTAATAAGGGAGAAGACTAGATAAAGCTGTCTAATCATGGAAAAGACTGTTGTTCACCCCGCGAATGCAACGGGTTTTCATAGAACCATTGGATTAACAGTGAGCTCGATTTTTGGTTTAAGAGTGCGCTCGAATTTCGGATTAACCCTTCAACCGCAGGCAACGTTGAATTCTAAACATTCTGTAGAATTTATCGGACGAGACATTTTTTTCATTCAGGTTTATTTTACCGCTTCTTGTTAAATACAACGGCCACTTTTTCTAAACGTGTAACACGATATTAATGAAAATTCTTGTTCTCTTTTAATTATGCTTTTTACGTAATTCTTAGATCTCGTCTGCGTGACAAATAAAAATCGCGCGCGATTTAATTACCGCACGGGAGTTAATAAGGTTTGTTATTTAATTGCCAGTAATTTATAGTTATCTAATTAATTATAAATTAACTGTGATTTAATTAACGTGTTCCCATGTATCGGTGTAATTATTAGACAGCGGATCCTCGTGCAAAATAAAAATTGTTCGAATTAATTTGTAAAACACGAAAGTGTTCCATGAAAGTGACATTCCTTTTATAATAATGATTGGAAGTGTGAAAATATTGCAACGATATCCTCCCAACGACAAAATGTTGCGAAGATACGAGGATATTTAATTCATTTTGTTAAATCGCTCGAAGAAAAGTACATGTTCGAATCGAATGACTGTTCAGTCGTCCTCGCGCCATCTCGCTCTTGCGTTCGCGTTCGGCACACGTGCGCTCGCGAACGTCAATCTGTCTCGACCAGGCTGCCCGCCGCAGGGTAAAAGCGGCAGGTTACAACAGGTCGTCCATCGCTCGTCCCGATCAAAGCGACCGGATCGTTGCGGATTTTTCGAAATCGCGAGTTCACGGTGTCCTATCCGATCTGCCAGAAGTCGGTCTATCCGTAGGTTCGCTGTTAGATCTAACGCGCTATCGTTGTACTCCAATTTCGAGTGCTATGCTGCAGAGATTGTCGAGAAATGAAAGTAGACAGCAGCTAGTATGTACCTTGAATCTACCTGCCTATAGCAAACCCTATACGACTGCGAATTTTATGCGTTTTTAACGCATAAAAAAATGAATAGGTCTAATACAAAACCAAAGAGACAGTAAAAAGAATTTAAGGATATTGTTACATCATTTTCGACTGATTATGATTGCCAAAAGAGAAAAGATATTTTCGTCTGATTTATATTTCTTACTATTAACTTAAACCATGTTTATTTTGCAGAAAAATCCGAAGTCTGGTGACAAGGTCATTTCAATCAGCTGTAGCAGATCTTCAGCCAACGCTACGTATAACTACCTTGCACTTAATTGCATCTAATAGAAAATTAGCAGCAATCTAGGGTAAAAAGTGCTACGACCGAACAATCTCGAAACCTGGCGAACGATGCGACTCTGTCCAAAGAAGATCGTCGACTAATTCGCACAAATTGATCGGTTTGCAAAAATTAATCACTTTATAAAGATAATCGCTTTGCAGGGGCTGATCGATTCGCAAGGATAATCACGAATATTTTTCTACTCGAAGGTCAAGTTAGATCGAGAGGGAACTCCTACCTCCTGGATGCTCGGCGATTCAATTTCCCAAGCGAGGAAAATCCAAGGCGACTGATGCAGACGATTCTACGAGAACTGCCGCGTCGGGACGACAACGACGAAGACGACGACGACGCGTCTCATGATGCACTCGCGAACAACGTTCGAGGCTCGGCGGGAAACGCGATCCTGGATCGAGAGCGGAGCGGATATATCTTCGTGTCCGAAGGACCAGGACTAGATGGATCCAGCCGGGGAAGAGATCCGAGGAGAGACCCGATGTGTTCGATGAAACTCGGGCCGAGCGACACGAACAACCGCGTGGCACGGACGGCTGTCGGCAGCCGACTGAACGTCTCGCCGGAGAATGGGAAGAACGATATCAGCCGGTGCAGGACGAGGAAGAGAGGTGGAGATTCGCAACCTCCACCGCACGCAACCCCTTGCTCCCTTCGGACCCGCACCGGGCTGCACACATTCTATTTAATAATCAACCGTTCCAATTCGTTAGCTTTGTTTTCGGAACAGAGAGCGGGTCGAACGAATCGTTTTTAAATAGAATTCTCGTATCATGGAGCCGCGTTTGCCTCCAAAAATGTTCTTGCTTCGAGATAAACGTCGGAAGGGGTGCTCTAAAATTCTGGTCTCTTTTAGGTTCGGAACGGATTCGAATTTTGACACGATGGAGGATCGTTCTTGCTTCTTCAGAAATATTTTGGTCTACGCCACTGAACAACCACTCCTCTGGAGCTCCTGATAGAACATCAATGTAATACATATCCAAGAAATGCGGTTGCTGTTTATATTACTATAATAATTAGCCCAATGTTTCGTTGTAGTTGCAAGAAACTGACTTCGAGTCCGGCTAAATCCATGAGAAGCCATCGAAGAACAACTATACTCCAGCCGGGCCTCTGGGTGTCCTGGGGATGGACAGAGGCCCGAGGCTCCGTGTCAACGAAACGCGACACGGCCGAAATATAGACAAACGCGGACGCGCCGCGCTCTGCGGGGATATTGTAAACGGGCCGGTGTGCTTTTGACGCGTCGATATATTCCCGCGAAGAAAGCCTCTGCCGCTGAAGCTGAGAAATAGCTTGCCACCTTTTACCCAGCCATCCTGTACCCTCCTCTCTCGCCGCCGCGACGTGTACAACCCGCGCGGCCTTGTCCCTTCGAACGATTACGGATTCCCAGACTCCGGGGATCGTAAGGAGGAGCGGATGAACAAGTTCGAGCCAGACGGATCAAGTTCGAGATAGAAAAAAGACTAGGAAGTGCACGGATGAGGCGAAGAGCCTCGATGTTTTAAGATGGAGAATAAAAGGGGACTGGTTGGAGCATTTGCGGACTGATCAGACTCGTCGGGGGCTTTTCGTGGCAAGTAGATCCTGTTTGGAGCATCGAAACCACGCCCACTTAGAAAGATACATACAGCAGATCTTGATTTCGCAAATGGGGATCTCTCAGGGAGTACTTGTTGGATATTCGATATCTCGGCTGTCGATGCAAAACTGAAGTTAGAATCGCCGTAGTCTCCTAGATTCTTCTCGGAGCACCGAAGCCACGCCTACTACCGGCTCCGCCCCCAAACCAAGCCTTTATGTTTCCACGAGCTTCTTCTTCTCGGTTACAAAATTCGCGGGCAGATGAAAAAGTGTGGACACCGTTCGATATCGATTCGTCGGAGTGCCAGAGGATGCTGCCTCTGCGTCCACGCGGCGACAACAGTTTTTGCGGCGAAGCCGAATGGACGGATACGCGACGATAGCGCGATAGCTCCTCCGTGATGGGAAAACACGGGACACCGCGGCGGTGGTACACGCGCGAACTTATCCGCCCGGCTCCGTTCTAGTTCCTCCGGTCCCCTCCTCGCTTCTCTTCAGCGTCGGCACCGCTTATTGGCACAAATTCACGGGCGACCACGCGAACGTACGCGAGCCGGCCCACCGGCCTATTATAGGTATTATTAGCACTCCGTCACGGGCCTGTCATCGCCACGCACACTCCTCTATGTTGGCGCGCGCGTACACCGGAATTCCCCGATAGCCGCCTTCGATTCCTTCGATGATCGAAGACGTCCGACGTCCTCGGGATGATCCTGGACCGTTCCAGGATAATCCGGTCCGCTCGCCGATCGACGCCGCGAGATATATCGCGCGGAAACCGCGACAAACGTCTACGGGAACTAGACGACGGAGCAATCTAAGTTTCCGGCGGATCGTATCGCTGTCTCGCGAAGTTCCAATTATTTCTTCGTTCTGCGTACGTTACATTTGGGTTGAACCCGTTGTTTGAATCAATTTTTGTTGCTTGGAAGAATCTCTGGTCGTGTGAAGACTATAGGAAAGGGTTTGAGAACTAAACTGAATTTATTTAGAGATTTCGCTGTTTTTATTACAATGTAAAGCGAATAGCCTAAGCTCACACGTTGAACATGAAAAAGTATCGTAGTTTCAGGATCTCGCAGACAGCTGATCGATTCGTTTGAACAGAGGAGGGTCACTGTGCGGTGTGACCAGTCGCTGTGCCTTTGGTATAATCAACTTAATATTTATCGCGCGAGATACATTAAATTTTTCAATTCAAAAATAAACGATACAGAACGCTGAAAAAGATTGAACACCTTTTTATTTTATAAGCGCGAAGTTAATTATGCCCGAAAGCAAACGAAAATGCACAGCGAGCGAGTCATTGGACACAGTAACCGGCTCCGCCACCCTGTCTGCCGGTAATCAAAGACGCGTTCGCAAGCATGATCGCGGGTCCCGCTCGAAAAAAAAAACGCATTGATCGAGGGGTCCGAGGGTGTTTCGCGTTTTTCCAGGTCGGTCTCGCGGGAGCGCTGTAAAATCGGCTGACGCGGTTTCTCCCTTGCGAGAGGAGTGACTTCGTGCTATTGACATCCGCTCCTCGTGGTATCGACATCCCGGTACAAGCCAGCCCACGCCGAGAGCACGATTTTGCGTCGCTTCCACACAGGGGGAGAGAAAGCGAGGACGGCTTGTATAGCAGAGAACGAGCGAGAGGACGAGAAGGCGAGAGAGGGTGGAGAACGAGATGGGAACGAGAGACCGAGCCGGCTGTGAACGGGGAGAGGGAAATTCGTTGGTCGAGCACGCCGGGCCGCGTCGGTATAATTTTCACAAGCGCGAAAATTACCCCGGAGCATGGCCGATAAGTCGTAAATTACGAGTGCGCGCGAAAGTGCGCGGCGCTCTATCATCGCTGTGTAAAACGTGGCATCGGCTCGTCTGCCGGTGACGGCGTCGTCGTCCCGTCGAATCTCCGTGCGATCCACGCTTTGAACGTTTCGCGCGCGAATAATTGCGGCACGGATTAATTTACATCGACTAGGAAGCCGGTAAATTCTTCCGTACGCGGGAAAACGATCATTGTTTGATAAATGGGAGGAAGTCTCTGGTATCAATTAATTTGGTCATAAAAAAATTAATATTAATAAATTACATTAATATTGATTTATTATATATAATATATAAAAAACCGCTAAAATCATTAAAGAACGAAATCAACGTCTACATAGTTCCAGTAGCTTGTAATTACCGTAGAGAATTTCTATTTTGAATGAACGCGTCCGCGGTCTAGTGATCATAGTCAAATAATTACCCTATTGTAAGTACGACCGAACTAATTATCCAGCTGTAACGATGAATGAAAAATGACGAGTCGATTGTTTCGACAGGTCCGGCGTCAACGCGGAGGCTAGAAGGAAACTCGTTGTGCTCGTCAAAAGAAGCCGTTCGTTGTTTGACCGCGAGCTGCAGCCGCAAAACAACCATAGAATGCCCGCCGAATAGAACAGGTGAGCCGGATAAGATTAAACAGCTGTTTCCGCGTTTTACGCCGGTTTAGCCGCCGCTTCCGGCATCGTCGCGGGTCTTCCCGAGAGCGCCGAGCCTAGAAACTCCTTCAGCTAGACCTACCGAGGAGAGATCCGCAAACGTTTACAGGGAGAGGAAGCCTAAACTAGCAATAAGGTCCGGCGAGCGTGCGTCGAGACTTCGAATCCTGTGTCTGAAATCACAGCCAGAAGAAGACGATTCGCGTTTATCCAAGGTTTTATTTCGAAACTTTATCCCGGGGAGAAGGAAGGAACAGGATGGAGCGGATAGAAAACAGCTGAGGCGCAGCTGGTTTCTGGCACCGCGACGGCTGGCGTCTTCCGTGTGTATATGCACGCAGCTGACGTGTGTGTACAGTACGGCCGTGGTAGAAAACAGAATCGAGATCGATTCTTAAAAAACGTTTTTAGAAGAGAGAATAACAAACGCGAGCGAACATCCATTTAGGTCCGGGGAGACCACTTGCTGGCGAAAGGTTTCCGACCGTTTCGGAAGCCATCAAAACTTTGTTCACAAGTTGCAATTTCTAGGATCGCAATTGATTCCGTTATTTAAAGGTTTCTGCTCGAATTGTCCATTGAAAGCAGCGATTCCATTTATCTACGAACCGTAGATGACCGGCATCCTCTGCTGATAAAACAATTAGCTGGTAGCACGGACGAGATATAGGAGTAGATACAGTATTTTTCTGTTTCACGAATTTATTTAATCTTGTTGGTAATGATAGCGGAGTCTGCGACACCCGATCTTCGGGTGAGAAAAATTTACATCGGGTGGTAGGTCGCTTCTATACCTCGTCTGTACTTGGATTGCTCGGAGATGAACGCTGTGGTTGCATATCCACAGGGGTTGCTGGTCTCTGGTGCTAGATGGCGGTGTGGATACGTACTTGTCAGATACAATTTTAAATTCAAATTGCGGCCAAGCTAAAGGATGCTCTACGATCTAGAGTATTCTGGAGTCTAGTTTCGCAGCATGCGCATTTTCTAGGGGATTCAATCGTTTAATTGAACGAAAACGATCGTTCAGCCTCCTTCGCGGAAGATGTTGCTCCGTTCTATGGTACTTACCGCTACGGAATGATCAACTCTGCGCTACGGTGTATAAACAGCTTTATTCGTTATTCGACAATGATAAGCATTCACAGGCTCGCGATGTACAGCAATACGATTACAAGCTCGTTTGCTCTTTGGGCGATGGACTTTGGGGATCGTCCGAACGAGGAACATCGTTAATGATATTAATCGCGGCGGTATCAAAGCATCGATTACTCAGACTTTCTTCGACGATCTCCCCCGTCTTCGTTAATCTCTGATATTCAGTCGTCCCTGATATAGTACTTCCGGAACGAGTACTCTAACCGGTGTCGGACGTGCAGGAGGACGTTTCGGCGTTACTGTGATCGTTGTTGCTCTCCGTCGACGAACTATCGTTGCTCTTTATTCGTCGCTTCCGCAGCTTTGCAAACTGAAACTCCTCGACCGGCACTGTATACCAACAATTGAAGTGGTCATTAGTTTTCACGCGTAACGAACGGGTTTCGTGTCTGTTTTGTTTAAGGAACAGGGGACGATCGCAACTCCGTAAGATCGGGAAATAAAACGAAGCAACTGCGTCTAGCGGGATCAGAACGATAAACATCTATATTTCATTGAGCTGTACCGAAGCTTGGTTTCATTCCATTACAGTGTCACTCTTACGTTGCAGCCACGGTAGGTGTGCCGACTGTAACGATAGTCTCATTTGATGATGATCTACTTAGCGGATCGCGTACCATGGCTGTAACATGTACATGAGGTTATACTCTTAGTTACTAACGTAAAACGACGCGCAGTAACGTAACTATAATCTTTGCTCTTTGATACGCAACCGTATCGAACAGATTCTCATCGTTGATAACAGTTTCTTAAAACTCTTCTTGGGCTTACGTGAGGCTCCGCCTAAGATCTTTGTACATTGAACGCTACGTGTACGCACAACCGGTTCAATATCGTTATTGTTTTGTTACGGTGAAAGAAAGACTGCTCCGTCAACTTACACGTGAAAATAAATAGATTCGAGGGAGGGAGAGAGAGAGAGAGAGAGAGAGAGAGAGAGAGAGAGAGAGAGAGAAGAGAAAGAGAGAGAGAAAGAGAAATTGACTATTTAACAACCATTCTGTCCGTTCGTAATTACATCAGCAGGTACTTCAGTTAAATAAGGAGGAGAAAACCGTTACTATAAAAATAGAGAAATCTCAGTAACATTCTCGTTATGCTCGACAAAACGATCCTATTCGTAAAATGGTTCTCGGAACAATGGAATTAATCGGTACGATAGAGGCAGTTAAAGAAAAACGTGAATACTTCAACGACGAACGATTTGTCCGCGATTCAAGCACGTTTATCGCATGGTAATACGATTACTTGTAGATCAAGTTTGGTTACCATCAGAATCTGGATCTCGATCAGTAACATTTTGCGGTGTGGTCGGTAATGGAACGATTTCGGGTTCCAGCGGTTTTACTGGGCAGTCCACGTCCTCCACTATTACTTCTTCTGCCAGGCTGCTTCTTACAGCCTCTGTGTTGACAAAAACCATCGGGCACAAATGAACTAGACATAATTAACGTTCCCTAAAGACAACGAGAAATGTTTATTCTACCATTGAATGCTTGAGGATACTGCTGACTCAGTTTGTTCTTTGCGATACGAATCCTTTTGAAAATGTAATCCAAATCCTTCTTCATCTCAATCAACAAGGCCGTGTGCTTCTTGAACTCCAATCCAGCAGTCTTTAGTCTATTTACAGATAACTGGTTGCAATTTGTTAGCATCTCGTTGGTCTTCTCAAATCTCTGCAGCCTGTAATATAAAGAAAAATTTTTTAGTGACAACAAACAATTATAACACGCAGACGTAATACGGAACTTCTTACATTTGCTTCTGAGCTCTTATCATAGATTCTACGTCCTGTTGATCGACGATACCAGCCAAACCCTGTATAAATACTTCCGGCGCGGTGTAATTTTGGAAGCATTCGAAACTCCCCGTATCCGATTCTGGTGTGCCTTGTGCAGTTGCCATTTTTTTCTTAAATCTCTATAGTTCGTAATAACAATACTTATCCTCGTGTGATTTCATTGTTGTCGTCTCCTGTCATCATTGTCCGTTCCAAGACGATGTTCCAATATACGTTCATTATAGTCGTCACGAGCATAGTCCTGATTATCAATTAACGACACTTGTATTAACGCAACGTCATAACAAATTAACATTAACCGTCAAACGGACTTTTTTCCATGAAATCATCGAGCACTCCAAACATTGCCATGAAGTATAAGTATAGATCGCACACTCTATATGTTTCCTCGGCCACAACGTGTACTTTATCAACCTTGTATCGACCGTGAATTCTAAAATTAATTATAGCCTCTTCTCGTGGACTACAGTTAATTAAAAGAATTATTTGTACGAGATTTCATCTAGCTACTTAATTAAAGCACCAAGTAAAGAATCTACGTTATTAAATTGAATTTTGAGCTGAAATTGTGATCAAATTTGGCCATTTTATATAATCAGTCGGTAGCGCAGGGATCACGGCGACGGAAATACACAAGGTGTCGATTCTATTCTTGCCATTTGTGTCGCTACTGTCAGTTACCGACGATTCGTTCGTCGGTGGAGCTACATGTAATCCCAAATCAATGGTAAGGCTGTCGTGTGTGTAATGTTAAACAGGAAAATGTTTTCGATCTGCAACTATAACGTTTCTTCTTGCTATTTACTTGATTGAAGTCGAGTTCATACCTTGGCCGAGCGCGCGATCTGCCCGAATAAACAAGCACAGCTTCACCTTCAACAGCTGTTTGAAGTCAAATGTTTTCACCAGGGTTTATAGCAGCCACAGCATTCAAATTTCTACAGTGACTGTTGTGTCTTGAGCCGAAGCTTTGAAAATTTTGCGTGAGGAAAAACGAAAGTTCGAGAATCCAGCGTGCGCATTTCTCCAGGCCAGAATGGCACAGAATATAAATCCATTTTATTCGTCTCAGAATGCGCCGAACANGAGAGAGAGAGAGAGAGAAGAGAAAGAGAGAGAGAAAGAGAAATTGACTATTTAACAACCATTCTGTCCGTTCGTAATTACATCAGCAGGTACTTCAGTTAAATAAGGAGGAGAAAACCGTTACTATAAAAATAGAGAAATCTCAGTAACATTCTCGTTATGCTCGACAAAACGATCCTATTCGTAAAATGGTTCTCGGAACAATGGAATTAATCGGTACGATAGAGGCAGTTAAAGAAAAACGTGAATACTTCAACGACGAACGATTTGTCCGCGATTCAAGCACGTTTATCGCATGGTAATACGATTACTTGTAGATCAAGTTTGGTTACCATCAGAATCTGGATCTCGATCAGTAACATTTTGCGGTGTGGTCGGTAATGGAACGATTTCGGGTTCCAGCGGTTTTACTGGGCAGTCCACGTCCTCCACTATTACTTCTTCTGCCAGGCTGCTTCTTACAGCCTCTGTGTTGACAAAAACCATCGGGCACAAATGAACTAGACATAATTAACGTTCCCTAAAGACAACGAGAAATGTTTATTCTACCATTGAATGCTTGAGGATACTGCTGACTCAGTTTGTTCTTTGCGATACGAATCCTTTTGAAAATGTAATCCAAATCCTTCTTCATCTCAATCAACAAGGCCGTGTGCTTCTTGAACTCCAATCCAGCAGTCTTTAGTCTATTTACAGATAACTGGTTGCAATTTGTTAGCATCTCGTTGGTCTTCTCAAATCTCTGCAGCCTGTAATATAAAGAAAAATTTTTTAGTGACAACAAACAATTATAACACGCAGACGTAATACGGAACTTCTTACATTTGCTTCTGAGCTCTTATCATAGATTCTACGTCCTGTTGATCGACGATACCAGCCAAACCCTGTATAAATACTTCCGGCGCGGTGTAATTTTGGAAGCATTCGAAACTCCCCGTATCCGATTCTGGTGTGCCTTGTGCAGTTGCCATTTTTTTCTTAAATCTCTATAGTTCGTAATAACAATACTTATCCTCGTGTGATTTCATTGTTGTCGTCTCCTGTCATCATTGTCCGTTCCAAGACGATGTTCCAATATACGTTCATTATAGTCGTCACGAGCATAGTCCTGATTATCAATTAACGACACTTGTATTAACGCAACGTCATAACAAATTAACATTAACCGTCAAACGGACTTTTTTCCATGAAATCATCGAGCACTCCAAACATTGCCATGAAGTATAAGTATAGATCGCACACTCTATATGTTTCCTCGGCCACAACGTGTACTTTATCAACCTTGTATCGACCGTGAATTCTAAAATTAATTATAGCCTCTTCTCGTGGACTACAGTTAATTAAAAGAATTATTTGTACGAGATTTCATCTAGCTACTTAATTAAAGCACCAAGTAAAGAATCTACGTTATTAAATTGAATTTTGAGCTGAAATTGTGATCAAATTTGGCCATTTTATATAATCAGTCGGTAGCGCAGGGATCACGGCGACGGAAATACACAAGGTGTCGATTCTATTCTTGCCATTTGTGTCGCTACTGTCAGTTACCGACGATTCGTTCGTCGGTGGAGCTACATGTAATCCCAAATCAATGGTAAGGCTGTCGTGTGTGTAATGTTAAACAGGAAAATGTTTTCGATCTGCAACTATAACGTTTCTTCTTGCTATTTACTTGATTGAAGTCGAGTTCATACCTTGGCCGAGCGCGCGATCTGCCCGAATAAACAAGCACAGCTTCACCTTCAACAGCTGTTTGAAGTCAAATGTTTTCACCAGGGTTTATAGCAGCCACAGCATTCAAATTTCTACAGTGACTGTTGTGTCTTGAGCCGAAGCTTTGAAAATTTTGCGTGAGGAAAAACGAAAGTTCGAGAATCCAGCGTGCGCATTTCTCCAGGCCAGAATGGCACAGAATATAAATCCATTTTATTCGTCTCAGAATGCGCCGAACAAAGCGACCGAGGAAAAACAGACCATACCGAAAGATAACCATGCAGTTAGTAAACGGTACGTAAGCTTTATTTGCAGTTTTCCGTTGAAGTTATCGGACAAACCTAATCCTGCACGAGTGCTATCATTTTTCATTCCTATCCGATCATTTGCTTTTCGTCACGTCGTTTATCAACGAGCGTTCTCCTAACATTAGAATGTTGACTATAACCTACCGTTTCGGGCGAAAAATTCGATATTAGATCGTCCTCAGCAGATACAGTCGAACCTCTACAGAGACAACAGTTTCCCCCAATCCTAGCAACCATCCTACGATTCGAATATTTCTCGAGAACTTCAAAAAACAAATTATCTGCAAGGATTTTGAGATTGGAGTTAGCAAAGTTTGGCTGTATTTGCGAATGTTTTCCAATAGGATTACTTGAGAATAATTTTTACTCCTTGCCCCAGACTGCAGAAGGAACTTATGGTTTTGATGATGTGCACGGAGAAAGGTGTCTCAGCCTTTCCCGATGGAGAAAATTTATTCAAATGGATTGGAACGATCACAGGACCAACGGACACTGTAATATCATCGCCTTGCGTATATCGATGCATCGATAGATATACTAGGCATTCTTTGTCACTGTATCTTTATTGCTGTTGTAGGTTTATGCAGGCCTTACGTACAAGTTGACATTGGAATTTCCTCATAGTTATCCATACAGTGCTCCAATAGTACGTTTTGCAACACCTTGTTTTCATCCAAATGTAGATGAAGTAGGTAACATTTGTTTGGACATACTAAAAGATAAATGGAGTGCTTTATACGATGTGCGTACTATATTGTTATCTATACAGTCTCTTCTTAGTGGTAAGCATACCTACATTCAGTCTGTGCCCGAAGGTGTTTCACGAGCCTTTGAAAACACTTAGCTGTTTCTCATTCTACAGAACCTAACAATAAAAGCCCACTGAATCCTCAAGCAGCCCACCTGTGGAGCGATCAAACAGAGTACAAGAAACACTTGATAGAAGAGTATAATAGAGCATTGATCCATGGTCAACAAGACTCATGATAAGTCCATTCTTATAATCATCTTGGCTGAGTTAATGTTTCTATTTCCGTCAGCGTTATTACTAGGTTTAAGGCATACAATGACCTGCTGCACCAAACTTATGAACTACATTATAAAAAGTTCAGTCTCCTGTTTCTTTTCTCTTTTGGTTTTCACATCGATGTAATTGTACCGCGCAAAGAGAGAGTCTAAAACCATTTTTATATCGTTCATTACATGTCATTCTTCTGTTGCTTAATTTCATAGAGTCGTCTGGGGAGACGGACAGAAATTTGTATCATGATTTTAAGGCTGTATATGCGGATTAAACAATTTTTGCATCATCAATTTGTATCAGAAACGTTTATTTATTATTCACTTTTAGTAATATATTTTGACTTTTCTATACATTTTAGAGTATTTCATACGTACTAGCTATATTCGATATTGCGTCATTTATCATTATTGTATAATTCGAAAATAAATATTTTAAACATTCATGCTCCTATATTCAATTATAATAATCCGCACAAATTCAGTTCGTCTCGAACGATAAGACAACTCACCGCGCAATCGTGATTAATCAGTACATATTTTCATCGAATTAGTAAGCTTAATAACCACCATTTGATCACTAACTTCACGAAATTGTAAAACCTATCGAGCTACCAGGCATCTTCATCGCCGGAAATTAATTAATTGCATAGCGGATGGTACTTCTCCGAAATGTTGGAACACCTTGTTTCTCCTAGCAATTCTCAACGATGTGTGATAAGTTACCCTATAAAATAAAAAAGTACTAGTAAGCACAAGTATATCACCAATACGTCCTTCGAGATGTTAATAGAATTTTAGAGTGCCAAACAATTGATTTATTAATGTATCTATAAAAGAAGATATAAATAAACATTTTCAACTAACATATGGAATGGTTTAATTTCTCTACTGCTATCTGGAACGTTCAAAGTCGTTCGAATGATCGAGGGTCATTATGCATCTGATAATGCGCTTGCTTGGATAAAAGGTGGGAAGGAGGGGGAAGTAAACGACTGACTCACGTTAGCCATGTTAGTGATGGCAGCGACATTTTGCCGACATTTCGTGCAGAAACTATCGATCGCACGACATGTTAAATCTTTCGCAGCATCCGTGTCAGAAATTTCGGGAAATCGAGATGATCAGGTACATGGCATACATCGAATAGAAAGGCTAGCAGAGATGAAGTCGATTTATATCTGTCCAATAGGAACGAAAAGTTAACGTGAACGGAGTCGACATCAATTATCTCAAGGTTGGAACTGGCGACCACGCTGTCCTGCTTCTACCCGGTGTAGCAGGTGAGACAAAACATCAAACCTAGCTATATGTTGAGCACATAGGCAGATAACGCTCTAGATAAATCTGTTTTAATCTAATATTTCTAGGCGAGTTAGATATTAGTTATGGAACGAACGACGATGTTGTGCCGCAGGTTCAATATGGTCCCACTTCAAGCCTCAGATAGAGGGTTTCGACCGGGAGAAGTTTACCATAGTCGCATGGGAGCCCGTGGGCTACGGGAAATCAAGGCCACCGGACAGAACCTTCCCGGACGATTTTTTGCAACGCGATGCCATTGATGCTCGCGATCTAATGAAGGTTTTAGGGTTCACAAAGTTCTCAGTAGTTGGATGGAGCGACGGTGGCATAACCGTGCTGTTCCTCGCTGCGATGTTCCCCGAGAACGTCCGGAAAATGGTGTGCTTCGCAGGGAACGCCTACATAACACCGACGGAAATCGAAATTTACAAAAGTACGTTGTTCGTTTGTTAATGAATGCGATGTTCAATTGTCAAAGTCAATCTTGCTCAGAGTCCAGGGACTTCGACAGTTGGTCTGAGAAGCGGCGAGCGTCAATGATAACGGTCTATGGCGAGGAGTATTCGCGAAAATTGTGGGCCGACTGGGTCGACGCTTGCGACAGAATTTATGAAAAGCAGAATGGCAATTTATGCAAGGAATTGCTGCCGAAAATTCGATGTCCTACTTTCTTGCTCCACGGGGCCAAGGACCGCATGGTACTCGCGGAGCATCCTCTTTACCTGAAGCAACACATCCACGGCGCCAAGTGCGTGCACAAATGTTTTCTCAATGTACAGGTTTTCTGCTCGATTTTCAAGCATTCCCGGTTTCCAGGTTGAAGATCATGGAGGAAGGTCGGCACAGTATTCACCTGCAGTACCCCAAGGAGTTCAACGATCTCGTCACCGAATTTCTGCTCGAGTAATCGATCCCATTTATACTAAAATTATACATATTTTGATGCAATTCTGACTAGTAATTTTCGTGTCCGGTCAAAGTCGGTTCTCGATACATGTTCCAAGCAACGAAGTACACTGAATGCATTACGCAGCATGGAGGACACACGTGGGCTAACCGACGCCGGAATCGAGCCGGAGAAAGGAAGCCACGTGGGCGATCAGGTCTTTTCGTAGGCAACACCATCCAAAAATGTTCCTCGCCTGCATCGCGATTTTTACTTCCACAGAACAATATCACTGAGAAACTAGCTGGCCACTGGTGCGGATAGAGCCCTCCTGTTTCGGGCTGATGATTAGGGGTAGCGGTGACTCGACTGTAAAATAGTGCGATCTACGCGGACATCAAGGACCGCCCATCCGAAATATCCGCATTGCGCTCCGAACGAAAATCGATCCTCTCTCTCCCCTGAGCCGGCTACGCCCCGAAACCTCTGCCAGGACACAAAAGAACGCGTAACGAAACCCCGATATTTCACTCGGCACACAGACGTACAGGAAGGCCCCCCGAGAGAACTACCCCCATAAACTCCTCCAAAGACACTCGAAGTACGCTAACGCCGTAGAATTTAATTAGCACGATTTTAATCCGCGATGAAGCAGAATGGAAAGTCAGAAGCGTCTTATTAGGCACACTCTTTCAAGCAAACGATCTTTATATAACAAATACGTTTTTTTTTTACGTTTAACAATGTAAATTGCCGTTCGTTTTTCACAATCGATGAGAATACGGTGCAAGTCGGCGCTGTTTTCGGATTCGTACGGGATCAATAACGCCGAGCCGAGGGCAAACGCGTGAAGAAGCGACCGAAGGCAGAGGCTGCTCATTCAATTCAAATGAAAAGAAAGGAGGAAAAATGAAAGCAAAGGAATATAAAGCCTCGCGAAAGATGTAGGAGCCTGAGAAGCGAGCCGCTGCCAGATAGAAAGTTGTCTTGTGCCACTTGTTATATGGATAACAGAGCCCGGCGCAGAGGCCGACTGTTCTCGGTACGCTCTTGGTACGAGATCATCGTTTAGAATACCAGCCGGACGAGATTGCGTAATGCACGAAATCTAGGAGGGCAACGATAGTAACCCCGTGTAACCCGCGAGAAGCGTGTCGCTTCGAGATAACGGCGGATCGTTGCGCAAAATGGCAGCTCATCTGAAACAGTCTAATCTGTCCGAATCGACAGCGGCGAGATATCCGCGAAGTTTTCAGAGAATTGGCTAATTCGAGACCAGGAGGGAAAAAGGATAACGTGTGTATATGTATACATGTATATATATATATATATATACATGTATATATAATGCGTCGGGTGTGGCCAAATATGGCCAGACTACTTCGCGATTCGATCACGTAAACCTGTCCTTATTCTTTTCGTTCTTTCCTCGATCGGGTCCCCTCTCTCGGATGCATCTTTGCAACACCGGTAACCTTTATCCCTGCGGGAATCCTGGTAGAAAGCCGGCGGTATCGTTCCAGAAATAAAAGAACGCGACCGTGTTTAATGAGGCGAGCGAAAATCCGGAGCAATTCTAAGCGAAGCGAGCGGCCGCCGCCGCGCCGCGGAAATACATATTTATGTACCCACATACGCGATCGTACGTGACAAGCGTGTACATACTTTCGGCAAAAAGGACGATCCTTTCCCCGTCATCGAAGTCCCGGCACCGATCCGGTAAACGATTTCCCCCGAAAACAAACACCGTCGGCAACGAACATCGCGAATTTCGCGACTTGGAAACCGCGACTCCAGTATGCAAATGCCCGTCCCGTTATGGAGCTGCAGCAGACCGGCGTCGCCGCGATGACATCATTCCGAGATGTTACTTAATATCGTCGACGACAAAATTCGTTCGCCAGCGACCGCGCTCGATCGTGCTCCGGGAAATCTGATCGGCGTTTCGGTAATCTTTCTAAAGAGGAGAGGAGACCGCGGCAGCTCCGCCGTGAGAAAAGGGAAGAAATCGGCGATCGGGCACGAGTGATTCCGATGAGTCACAATCAGATTTCGTGCCTACCGTTATCGACTCGATCCTCTTTGGCCACGGCGAGACGTATCCCGCCCGTTGTCCTCCCGAGTAGAAAACGACACCATTTACGGTAGCTTGCGTCTCCGTTGTTGATCGTTTTCGATTCTGTATCGCGGGATCGCTCGAGAAAGTGGTCGCGCGTCAAAATCTTGGCCTCGATAGCCCTCGCTCGCTCCCAGGAACACGATCCTCCGCATCGTGGACCCTCGGAATTTCTATCGAAGTCGCAGAACGGGAGGATTCTACCATCGACGGTCGCTAAACGATAGCGCCCTGTCCGTCATTCATTGCCGAAGAGAAGGATTCTATTATTAGTTGTTACAAACCAACAGGAATTTACTAACGATCATTGCAAGAGGATTCTCCCATTAGTCAGCACCTAGCAAAAAGGTTCTACTTGTCGATGGTTATGGACCGAGAGAATTCTTTCGCCAGTCGTGGCGAAGCAAGAGCATTTACAATCAACCAATGCAGACGAAGAGGATTCTAACATCATTTATTGCGGGATAAGAGGATTCTATCATCAGTCGTTGTTTCGAACCTGAAGAGTTTACTACGAATTGCTCTGAGCCAAGAGGATTCTATCATCGGTCGTCGTTGAACAAGAAGACTCGAACCCAGAACGTTCCTCCATCTGTTCTCGAACGAATAGGGTTCTCTGCGGATTGCAGGGGCGCGCAAATGGTTATTAGGTCGGTGCAGCTACCTGGGGGGGGGGGGGTGGCGATTTTGATCGGCCTAGACGCGTCGACGACGGTGTACACACGCTTGCGAAAATATTTAGACGTATCCGGCGTGCACGACATCCTCGGGATCAATAAAAGTTGAGGCGGGGCAAGGCCTGGCTCGTCGTTCCGACTCGGTTCTCCCGACTCGACGTTGACTGCCAGCTTCAAAACGCTCGAACGACTCCACACGACACTTTCGTTTGCCCTTACCGATCGATAAACGGCGAGGATCCCGGCCGAATTCACGTCGAACCCCTCGATTTTGGTCCCCAGCGAAGAGAGAACGGGCACGCGTGTCACCGCCGGCTAAACGCAACTTTCCGATTGTTTGCCCGCGCGCCGTTTATTCGGTTTTGTTGAAAATCGCCGGGTTTCTGGAAAGGTCGATAACATCGCGACTTAGCCACCCCCGTCGTCCTGACATGCGTGGACTATGTCGCGTTCGTTGTGTTTCCAGCGGCCAACGCCCACCGTCGATCGTGTCAATCGTCGACGGGGCTGCGAATTTCACGCGGAAATGAGCCGCGGCTATTAAATATTTCCCGGCGAGCCAGACAGCTGCCCGTCTGCCGCCGAACAAACGTATACATAGACGGGATCGCCGGCGCCGGTGGTGTGTATAGCTGCGAAATTCGATCGGTGCGGTGACGACGATAGCCACCTTTTTATCGCTGCGGAACAAAGCTGATAGCGGGCGATTTACAAGATACGGACTAGGTTGTTCGATTTACGGAGTTCGACTCAAAGATTGAGTACGGTTTAAATACTGTGGAGACTGGTCGACGATAAATGACTCGACCGACTTAATTGATGCTGATAACGAGTCTCTGAAAATATGATTCACGTTGCAAATCCGGCGTTGCGTAGGAGAGATCTCTGTCTTTTTCTTTTTATCCAGGGACTTTGTACCGGTGTAATTTTCAGACCGTTTTCCTACGGAGACATTTAAGATGTCCGTGTTCGATGGATCGTCGTTAGCTAGACAACAACAAGCCATTTTTCTTTAGGCCGCAGGAACAGGCTCGACGTCTCGGCCTAAATTGGCCGTGATGTCACCGAGCGTTTATACACTCGCGGAGTCGTTTAATAGCATGGCCAACGAAGGACAATGAGAGTCGAGCTAATCTAGTCGAGCGTGTCCTCTTGAATCGATACCATGTGCCACACGTGAAAGACTCGATCCGACACGCGGCGTTCGTCGAGGAAACGATCTGCACCGGGGCCCGATGAGCTGGCCCAGCCAGATATGTACAAGTCCCGCCGGTCCTATGGTCCACGTCCCCGAAAGAATGCAACCCGGTGCATAACCGAGCGCAATGGACGCCGCAACGAAACAGCCGCAGGCCGCAGCATACTGTTCGATCGTGCGACTGACCGGGAGTGTTCACCTCCGGTCGAGCACGCTCTCTTGTTCTTCTCTGAAATGTAATTCACGTCGATAATAATCCTGATCCCCTGTTACGGCGGGCCCGTTACGTGCACCTACTGCGTGTCTATCAGCCCGAGACTGTGTGTGCACGCGTGTAGGTGCGCGACCATACGCGGTAGATGAGCGCGCGGGCGTCTACACGATCGCGAGTGATTCTTTTATTTGCTCTCTCCTTTTTCCTCTTTTTTTCGGGACGAAGAAGTGAGTGATCCATACATGGTAACGGCGAGAAGACTGGCTTACACGTTGCAATCCGTAATCCACCCTACCTGCTCTCCTGTCGAGACTCGTTCACGCAGCCTGCCCGAACACGTCCTATCTCTTCTGGTCGTGTGTTCAACACCACGCACACCGTCGACACTTTCTGCATCCGTGCAGGCTGCGTTTCACTTGTGTCCGGCCCGTGTACCGGTTAATAAGTGGATTCTTCTCGCTGATGATTCCTGCCGTCGACCCGGCTCTTTAAAGTCCTGACCCCGAATTCTGCTTCGTATTCTGTCTCAGATACTGCCTCGAATTTTCCTTCGAAATCTGTCGCAAATTCTGCTACAATTTCTGTCTCAAATTCTATCTTGATTCTGTCTCAGATTCTATCTTGATTCTGTCTTAAATTCTGTCTCGAATTTTACCTTAATATCTGCGGCTTAGTATGCTAGTAGAAGATTTGCATAAACATGATACAGTACAATTTAGTTGAATAATCCAGTTTAACAAACTAGTTAAAGATATTAAGTTAGTTAGGTATTAAATCGACTAAGATATCAAATTAGTTAGTCGATTTAACAGAAACAGCGGGAATGTTGGTAATGATTTTTGCCAAGGCTAAATACATCTGCAAATTTTGATGATAGTTTTTAAGGGATGCTTTATGTAAGAAGCCGCCGTCTGGTCTGCTGTAAGATGCTCTCGATTAAACCCGCAATATTTGGGTGGGCGTGTACGACAGTGACTCACGTATCGACTTTTCTTCCGGACAGGTAGGGATAGGCGGGGGTGGGTTTAAGGCGAGCCATAGGTAAGGGAGGAAAAGACCGCAATGAGGTAACCGTTATACACCGCACGCAAGTCGCGAATACTACAGGCGTTTTTTTTTTTTTAAAAAAACGTACAAATATTTCGCGTAGCCTGTCTTAAAATGAAAAATGATCAGCGTCGGATGAACTCGCCGAATCATAGAAAAATGTGTAAGGAATCTAATCCTTGTACGGTCAACCCCTTGCGCGGGCAACCCTGCAGACATTCGCCTTCGTTCTCTCTATGCACATTATCGAGCTATTTTCAATATTTAAGTACTCGACACCGTCGCAGACAAGTACCGTCGACATTACGAGCGATTCTCGGTCCTGATCGTCGCATTCGTTCGGGATAAAAATCGTCGGGCAACCACGCCCGGAAATCGATGACAGTACGGACACAATAGCAACATCAGCTCGGCAGAATGTTAATTATTCGGGCATCGGTGTGGACGATCATCGAGCAAACGTTCGCGAATGATCTGGACGGGCAACGGTGTTTCTGCCGGCCTTTAAATCAATGTTTTCTCGGGGAGGGCCGGCTCTCTGTTAGCAGCCAAGAAAAAGAGGTCGCGTTCGTGGGTTGAGGATATCGGTGGTCCTCGTTGGTTTTGGCGAATCGAAAATTTTCAACGATGTCACATCCATTCGCCGACGGCTGGGGCGCAGGCTCGGCAGAGCGTAGCAGTTGGCATGTTGGCAACGCTGCCGACGCCGGGCCGGTGAAACGGTGGTGGTGTCCCGACCAATCGGAGCGGTCGCTGGTGCCACCTCCCCTCTCCCCGCCGCTGTCCGGTCGAAGCTTGAAAATCTGTAACGGACGCCGGTGCCAGGGCATATTCGTTTGCGGGCTCTCGTGACGAGTTAGCGTGCATCCCGTTGTTCGTACAAGTACAGTCACCAGCGAGTTTTCGAAGCAGTTCTTAACAAACTACCGAGCAACATGAGGGAAATCGTCCACATTCAAGCTGGCCAGTGCGGAAACCAAATTGGCGCTAAGGTGAGTGCCGAGAATTCCTTCGAGAAATCCCTCGCACTCTTCTGACCGCGTGTAACGCGAACGCCACTTTGTCCGATGCTCTCATAACCGGTCGTCCTTGTACCGTATTATCCCGAACCGAACAGTTTCCCATCGTTCTGATCGCCGATCGTACGAAATCTCGGGTAACGCGATTCCAAACTAGATTAAACTACGTAATCGAGGAATATTGGGAGAGATAATGTTAGACCACGAATACGCCATCTTTCTGCATTCTTCGAACGAGACGTTCTCGGAAGTAGCGCGACCCGATGGACATTTCTTATCTGCCACAGTGTTTGCAGAAAAAGTGGAGGCGGACAAAGAGCCACGAAGAGCGTGGCTGGTATGCGAAAAAATCGTGTACGGTCGAAGACCTGTCATGGCGACAGAACTACGCCGGCCGGCGAGTATCCTAACGGTTTTTTCCGGCGAGGCGCCGCACCGGACGTGGCGNCTCAGATTCTATCTTGATTCTGTCTTAAATTCTGTCTCGAATTTTACCTTAATATCTGCGGCTTAGTATGCTAGTAGAAGATTTGCATAAACATGATACAGTACAATTTAGTTGAATAATCCAGTTTAACAAACTAGTTAAAGATATTAAGTTAGTTAGGTATTAAATCGACTAAGATATCAAATTAGTTAGTCGATTTAACAGAAACAGCGGGAATGTTGGTAATGATTTTTGCCAAGGCTAAATACATCTGCAAATTTTGATGATAGTTTTTAAGGGATGCTTTATGTAAGAAGCCGCCGTCTGGTCTGCTGTAAGATGCTCTCGATTAAACCCGCAATATTTGGGTGGGCGTGTACGACAGTGACTCACGTATCGACTTTTCTTCCGGACAGGTAGGGATAGGCGGGGGTGGGTTTAAGGCGAGCCATAGGTAAGGGAGGAAAAGACCGCAATGAGGTAACCGTTATACACCGCACGCAAGTCGCGAATACTACAGGCGTTTTTTTTTTTTTAAAAAAACGTACAAATATTTCGCGTAGCCTGTCTTAAAATGAAAAATGATCAGCGTCGGATGAACTCGCCGAATCATAGAAAAATGTGTAAGGAATCTAATCCTTGTACGGTCAACCCCTTGCGCGGGCAACCCTGCAGACATTCGCCTTCGTTCTCTCTATGCACATTATCGAGCTATTTTCAATATTTAAGTACTCGACACCGTCGCAGACAAGTACCGTCGACATTACGAGCGATTCTCGGTCCTGATCGTCGCATTCGTTCGGGATAAAAATCGTCGGGCAACCACGCCCGGAAATCGATGACAGTACGGACACAATAGCAACATCAGCTCGGCAGAATGTTAATTATTCGGGCATCGGTGTGGACGATCATCGAGCAAACGTTCGCGAATGATCTGGACGGGCAACGGTGTTTCTGCCGGCCTTTAAATCAATGTTTTCTCGGGGAGGGCCGGCTCTCTGTTAGCAGCCAAGAAAAAGAGGTCGCGTTCGTGGGTTGAGGATATCGGTGGTCCTCGTTGGTTTTGGCGAATCGAAAATTTTCAACGATGTCACATCCATTCGCCGACGGCTGGGGCGCAGGCTCGGCAGAGCGTAGCAGTTGGCATGTTGGCAACGCTGCCGACGCCGGGCCGGTGAAACGGTGGTGGTGTCCCGACCAATCGGAGCGGTCGCTGGTGCCACCTCCCCTCTCCCCGCCGCTGTCCGGTCGAAGCTTGAAAATCTGTAACGGACGCCGGTGCCAGGGCATATTCGTTTGCGGGCTCTCGTGACGAGTTAGCGTGCATCCCGTTGTTCGTACAAGTACAGTCACCAGCGAGTTTTCGAAGCAGTTCTTAACAAACTACCGAGCAACATGAGGGAAATCGTCCACATTCAAGCTGGCCAGTGCGGAAACCAAATTGGCGCTAAGGTGAGTGCCGAGAATTCCTTCGAGAAATCCCTCGCACTCTTCTGACCGCGTGTAACGCGAACGCCACTTTGTCCGATGCTCTCATAACCGGTCGTCCTTGTACCGTATTATCCCGAACCGAACAGTTTCCCATCGTTCTGATCGCCGATCGTACGAAATCTCGGGTAACGCGATTCCAAACTAGATTAAACTACGTAATCGAGGAATATTGGGAGAGATAATGTTAGACCACGAATACGCCATCTTTCTGCATTCTTCGAACGAGACGTTCTCGGAAGTAGCGCGACCCGATGGACATTTCTTATCTGCCACAGTGTTTGCAGAAAAAGTGGAGGCGGACAAAGAGCCACGAAGAGCGTGGCTGGTATGCGAAAAAATCGTGTACGGTCGAAGACCTGTCATGGCGACAGAACTACGCCGGCCGGCGAGTATCCTAACGGTTTTTTCCGGCGAGGCGCCGCACCGGACGTGGCGTTGTCGTCAAGCGTTCTATTGCGCTCCTGTTCGCAGCTCCGTCGTTCGAATTTTTTCGAAATTCAAACGAGGGAGACGTCACGAGCGGGCACTTTTTCCAGAAAAATTCGTAAAATTATTTCGATTGGACGATACTCGTCCGCTGGGTGTGGCTGTCTCCGGGCGTCGAAATACACCGGGTTGATGCGGCAGTGGAATCGAACGATTGCGCGCGCATTCGGTGCTTCTCTCTCTCTCTCTCTCTTTCTCGCGACTCGTTCTCTACCGTCGTTCTCTCTCATCTGCGTTTTTCTTGCGAGACTGATGCAGACATGCGCCATTATTCGCTCGCCGTTCGAAACGACCGTTTTTTCCTTACTCGACGGAGATTGACGTTTATGAACGTTCCGCCGGGACAGAAAAATAATGTACCGCTATAATCTCTGAACAACAGTATAGTTTTTTCTACTCAGTTTCAAAGTAGCGGAATTTATTCTTCGAAGTTAAATCTCCTATGACCGATAGATTGACTCAGCTTAAAATAATTGAATGATGAGACAATGTAGGCGTTTATTTTGCATACATTTTATTTCAGACGAAACCGTGAGATATTTCTGCTGTATATGAACGTCACAGTTAAACGCTACAGCAATTAATCGTCATTTATTGGAATATTCTAGAAACATAAAATATTTATTTCAATCCCATGCGAATAAATAAATTTAAATTTCTATTTAAAAAAAACTATTGCAGTCATTATTATTTTATTCCTATTTAGAATTATGTAAATCTTCGTGGATTAATCGAACAAAAATTGGTAGCTAATAAAATTGCGGATCATATTCTGAACAGGCTCTAGGTGCCACTACTGCAGTAATAAGTGCACTTGGGAAGTAATCGCACGATATCTTGGAGGTCGTGCGACGAGAAAATATTATATAATATAGACAATTATCACGGGAACTGACTCGGGAGATTGGGGTACGATCCGACCGGCTGTAGTCACGCTCTCATAGTTTTCAAGGTTGTTTCATTGAGTCAACGTCCGCTTCCCTGGTTAGCTGCATCTTCGTCTATTGTCGCGATATCGATTTTCAATCCGAGACGTATCTTCTCGTAGGAACCGAGAGCAGCAGCTCTCTGTCCTGAACTGGAAGCAGTTGTGCAACGATTACAGTTCTGTCCATTCAGGGATCCTGTGGTCCAAGGACATCGAGTCTTGCGTGGCACAGCAACGCTTCCAAATAAAGAAAGAAGATATCCTCTTCTCGCGTCGTCGTCGTTTCGCGTCACCTCGGCCTGATTCGGGCTATCTAAATTCGCTTTTCTAAACTCGCTTCGTTTCCAATCGTTGCCGCGGTCGGTACAATGATCCGTGTAGAATACAGTCGATGATCGCGTAGCCTCCATCTGCTCGAAGAGCCATCTGCTGCTAGCTAGACCGTTCGGAGGGTCGCAAAGAAAAGAGTCGTAGAGCAGCTGCCAGGGGGAAGGCAAATTGTAGTTCCGTTACTAACTAGCGCCGCCGCCATTTTGTTGCTTTTCCAGCAGGTCCGTTCCACTCGTCGTTGCCTCAGTTTCTCGCGCTCGCAATCTGTAAATGTATTTCTAGACCAAATATTACGATTCTTCAATTGTTATATTCTCAATTATATTCCAAAGTTGCTTCTTTTACTCTGGCTCGCAGCTTCCTTCTGCTCTCGACGCCTTAAAATTCCCCGAGTCGAAAATACAGATGAAAAGAAAGTGGAAGTCCTCGGGGTGGGCGGTGGCGCCTAACATGCTTTCGAGATGTCCCTCGAATTTCTGCGGCGAGTAAACAAGGGGGGAGGAGAGAGAGAGAGAGAGTCGTCCGGTGCATAAATCGGTTCGAATTGTGTTATGCTAATTGCACCGGGTTCGGTGTGTTACGGTCTTCGCTTCTATATATAGCGATGACATTGGTGACTCATATCTCGCTACAGCAATACATGTACATTGCGTGTACAGGTAGAACTGGTGGGAGGTAACAGGGCTGGGCGATCTTAGCTTCCCACTAACGATATTCATATATGGTCACACCGCTCGATACAGGCGTCGTTTCCATGTAGGACGGTCGTCGTAGTGGATCACGTAGGCGTTCGCGATCGCGTTCGGCCGAATTCACCGGATCGGGCAATTACCCAACGAGTTTGTCGAGTCTCGAAGTCGCCTCGATTAGATTTTGTCTCCCTTTGATCTTGCGATAATAGACTCTGCAACGTTTCGACCTACGATAACGTCGCGGACGAGATAATGTACGCCAGCTGTTCAACCTTACACTTGATCGAATACCACACGCTTGACAAATAGAAACAATTAAGCCCCGACCGCATACTTGGCTACCTGGCTGAAGGATAGAGAGACGCGCGTCCGCGGCACTCGCCGCGATTTCCAGAAATACACCGGGCGGGTCTTTGAACTACAGCGAAGAGAGTGCACTCTTCTAGGTAGCAGCAGACTGTGCTCTGCTTCGCTGCATTTTCGTGCTACGCATTCGTTCGCGTCGAAGTAAACGTTGCGCCGAGGAGGTACCGTGGTAAAACACAAAACTCGCTGGTCCGATAATTAATCTCGTTCGGCAGACACGAGTGGGCGCGCGCGCGCACGCACGCACGCATGCTTGCATCGGGAAAGAATACAAACAAACGTAGTCGAGAGGAAGAGGAAGGAACACCTCTTATTCGCCGAGGTTCTTAATGAACGTGCGTATTACGAGTAATTACACGCGAGCTATTCAACGACGAGGTCGACGAACCGCGTTCTCGGTCGATACTATGGAACACTGGAAACGGATGTCGGAGGATAGTCGCGCGGAGAAAGCGTCGCCGGGAATTATCATATCCACCTCCTCCCTGCGTATCCTGTAATTGAATAATCCGGCACTAGAATGTGCAACGACAAAATGGATTTCTTCGAGGATTATTACTTCTCCGGTAATTATCACGTACCCTTTGAACATCCTTCCATCCACTACCTTGTCCGACGAGAGCACCGAACAGAAATCCACAAGAAACCAACGACCACAAATTTATCAAGACCTCCTGATTCACTACAGCTTCCGACCCTACCAATGATGTTAATTATCTTTATTATATTTCCGGGTACTAATGGCGGACTTGTTTCACAGTTTTGGGAAATAATCAGCGACGAGCATGGCATCGACCCGACTGGAACCTACCACGGAGACTCGGATCTCCAGTTGGAACGCATCAACGTTTACTACAATGAAGCCTCCGGCGGCAAATATGTACCACGCGCCATCCTCGTCGATCTTGAGCCAGGAACCATGGACTCCGTCCGCTCGGGACCTTTCGGACAGATCTTCAGACCCGACAACTTCGTGTTCGGTCAGTCTGGAGCTGGCAACAACTGGGCGAAAGGACACTACACCGAAGGCGCTGAGTTGGTAGACTCTGTGCTCGACGTAGTCAGGAAGGAGGCTGAGAGCTGCGACTGCCTGCAAGGTTTTCAGCTGACCCACTCCCTCGGCGGCGGTACCGGTTCCGGTATGGGTACCCTGCTGATCTCGAAGATCCGCGAGGAATACCCCGACAGAATCATGAACACATACTCAGTCGTCCCGTCTCCGAAAGTATCGGACACTGTCGTCGAACCGTACAATGCCACTCTCTCCGTTCATCAACTCGTCGAGAACACGGACGAAACCTACTGTATTGACAACGAGGCCCTGTACGATATCTGCTTCCGCACTCTGAAACTGTCCACGCCCACCTACGGTGACCTGAACCATCTCGTATCCCTCACAATGTCCGGCGTGACGACCTGCCTCAGGTTCCCCGGTCAGCTGAACGCTGACTTGAGAAAACTCGCCGTCAACATGGTACCGTTCCCGCGTCTCCACTTCTTCATGCCCGGATTCGCTCCTCTGACCTCACGCGGCAGCCAACAGTACAGAGCACTCTCGGTGCCCGAGCTCACCCAGCAGATGTTCGACGCGAAGAACATGATGGCCGCGTGCGACCCCAGACACGGAAGGTACCTCACGGTAGCCGCCATCTTCCGTGGCAGGATGTCGATGAAGGAGGTCGACGAACAGATGCTAAATATCCAGAACAAGAACAGCTCGTACTTCGTCGAGTGGATCCCGAACAACGTGAAGACAGCCGTCTGCGACATTCCGCCTCGTGGACTCAAGATGTCCGCGACGTTCATCGGCAACTCAACCGCCATCCAAGAGCTGTTCAAGAGAATCTCCGAGCAGTTCACCGCCATGTTCAGGAGAAAGGCTTTCCTCCATTGGTACACCGGAGAGGGTATGGACGAGATGGAGTTCACCGAAGCCGAGTCGAACATGAACGATCTGGTCTCAGAGTACCAGCAATACCAGGAAGCTACCGCGGACGAGGACGCAGAGTTCGACGAGGAACAAGAGGCCGAGGTCGACGAGAATTAAAGACCTGCCAAGACAACTGCCCCGTTATCTCTCTCACTCATGCTCTGCTTCTTAACTCTGCGTTACCTCCCTCGTCCCCTCGTTCCCTGTATTTTTTATTTCTTTTTTACAGACTGTTCTCTGTCCACCATGGCAATTTCACGAACAGGCGCACCTTAACGGCTCCTCCCGCCCCCCCGAATTTACTTTCGTACTCGCCGAATTATTCGAAAGGAATTTTCTTTGGATTGTCGTTTCTGTGTCCTATGTTGTCCTCCCTGTTTATCTATTTTTTTTTCGTCGTTTCTCATTCGATTTTTACTGTTTGCAAGGTGCGTCTCTGTATCCAGTGTATAACCGCTGACGCGGTCCACCACCGTTTATAAATAAATTATTATGATATAAGCGTATGTTTTATAAGGAACAACCCCCATTTATAACTAGCCTTATAAGTAACGCATCAGACGATTGGTTTTTTGTATTTATGAAACTACAATTGTAGATCTGAATAAAGTGGATCATTCAGCCCACGAATGCCAATATGAACCTTGATTGACGCTGTTTTGTCTGTATCACCGATGATTCCGTCGATCAGTACTTTATCGATCCTAGCTCGGAAGTAAAATGTTGCATTTAGAGCTATTAGAATCCCTAGAGATGCGCTAGTATCGAGAATATTGTCCTAAAAACGGAGCAGGTCGTCCAGATTGCATGCAACGAATCGTTAATTAGCGAGCGGGTCAATTAATTAGCATCGTGTCGCCATCTATCGATGAACAACGTCATCGGAAGTGTTCACTGTACTGGTACAATCGTGCTGCAGATACCGGATTTATTGGCCAATTACGAAAAGAAATCGATCGCCAATTAGTTCCGGTCAGCATCGCGTTTTCTTTTGATTTCGTATTGCGACGACTAGATAAATATAGAGCGAAGAAGAGTCCAAACAAGATCGGATCGAACACGGTACACGCGCTAATGAAAATGTTCAAAGAACAAGCATTCCGTATCAATGGCGAAACGCTCGCGACAGGATGCGAACAGTTTGCGGTTTGCGTAGATTGCACGTTGTTTAGAGGTTTCGTTGGAATTTTAACCGCAGCCAGGCCTATCGGCTAACCAAATAACGGACTAATGTGATACAGTTAAGCCAGTGGCATCGATTTGGATCGAAAACTGTTCTCTGTCTCTGGATTCCTTTCTAAATATCAATGTAACATACATTCTCTTTGATGAAAACATCTTCGAGAACGTGCGAAATATATTTTACTTTATAATGTACAGCGGAGAGAGAGATTCGTCGAATGCCAAATGTACGTGTACCACCTGTATTCGTCGCAGAGATATTAATAATGTATATATTCGCAATTAACCCCGAAGATTAATCTATCTATCATTTGCAGAAAACATTTTCGAAAACATGCGAAATGTTTCTGCTCCATAAACTGCAACGAAGAAATTCGTCAACCGTTAAATACCTAAATATTCATCGCAGAAATGGTTGCGATTAGTCCCGAAGGGTAACCCTTTAACCCCTTCACCGATAGCAATCAGAGTAGCGATCCCCGAGGGAATTACATTAACCTAATTAGCTCGTCGAATTCTTCTTCATTTTAGAATGCCCCGCGACAAACATTTAAACCTGCCTACCGTGTACGGGCGGAAGACCGTCAACGGGGGAATTGTAATTAATAAGAGGGTAAATCAAGATAAAAGGCGGAGGACGCGGTATCGCAATCAAGATCATAGTCGGGCAAAGGAGAGGAGAAATTCCGTCTGGCTGGCCCGGCTGTGGCGTACACGGGAAAATTCGTGTCGCATCCTACCAATATGTCGTCCCGCACGACCATTCGTTGGATAAATAAATGAAACGAGCTGGGGCGGTTTCTGTTCGACAAAGCCCAAGAGAAGGAGTCAGTGGCATGACTCATCGTCCGGCTATACGTGGCTGCGTGCGGCTCGTTGTCGTCGTCGTCTCGCTCCGCGAATTCGATCCACTCCGAGACGCCACGTACTAATTGCAAAGTGTATTGTACTTTGCGGCGCGACAACCTCCATTGTTCTCTTCAATCTGAAAAATCACGCGCTACGAGTCACCGCGATTCGACGACAATTTCGTCGAAAGATTCGGGAACATCACTCTTTGCCACGTGGGGGAGTTTAATTACTCGCGAAGATCGGCTGAAACTTCAAGCTAAGATGGCAATTTAGAATTAAAGCAGATTCAAAATTACAGCGGCTTAGAAATTATAGCAGCATCGAAATTAGAGCAGCTTCGAAATTAGAGCAGCCTCAAAATTACAGCAGCTTTGAAATTAAAGCAGCTTCAGATTTAAAGCAACTACAAATTAGAGCAGCTTCGAACTTGAAACAACCTGCGAGCTAAGTTATCTCTGAACTTAAAGTTTACAAACGTTCGACCACAAATGCCGGGAACACCTGCAACCGTCTAGGAAAGCAACAAAATGCATTGCGATTAGAACAAATGCGGGCGAATGATAACGCGCCGCCGTTAGTCGAGATACCCCGGGCATTTTCGTAGAGGAAAACGAGGAGCACCGAGTCGGAAAGAGGATCGGGGGATGGGGCGAGAGATAGGGACGAGGTTACAATAATAGAAGAAGGGTTTTTACAGCGGCAGGGGATCGTTGACGCGCAGCTGGAGACAAAACTTCGTCTCGGTTATCATCCTTTCCGACCGAGAAATGAGTCACCCACACGGCCGAGAGGCCAGAAACCCGGTTGCTCTCGAGCATCGAACGACTCGCAGAACTTCGGAATCCGCGGTATTCGTCGAGATCAGGCAATTTCGGGTGCCGCAAGGCCGCACCGAAAGACGTTCACGCTCTACCGGCACTTCCGTCGAGTGCTCCTTCAGTTCATCGAACAGGAAATCCTGTCGGCATTTCCTCTTTATTATGGCGGTCCTGGTGACTGGACTCCGAACTGCGGATTTTATGCATGCGCCCAAAAAATGTTCCGAGTTTTTCTCGAATTGTTTACTTTATCAAGGGTTTTTCGATGATTTCTCAGATTTCTTAATTCGAGCATGTATTATAATTATGTGTATTTCTCGGTAAACTATATTATGGTTGTGCGTGAACGAGAGATCGAGTAAAGCATGGTGTGTTTGAAGAGGACCAAGTTCAAACTCGAAAATGAGGTGATCATAATTCAATATTGCAATCGTATCGTCTCAATTTTTATTATTATTCTGTTACTAATGCTATTATTATTTTGTTTAATTTTTGTCAATAGATGGAAAGGACATCTGGTACGTGTCTCCGCTAAATAAATTGAATTAAATAATTGCGATCGAAAGAACGAGGGAGAAGGAAAAGAAAAAGAAAGAGAAGGGGAGAAAAGAAGGAAAAAAGTACCGACGTCACTGAACGCGATCCATACGTGAGTCGCGTAATCGCAAAATATCGGCGCCGAATACTCTCCGATCTGCGCGCACCGATGAGCACAGGTGACCCTTCTAATTCAAAATTCACGTGTTCCAGATCGCGAGGTGACAAAGCAGTTCTCATGCAAGCAGCGACCAGCAAAAAGAACGAAAGGACAGCCAAAGGCGTAGCCATCGTGAAAAGAATGTGGTTCCCTGAATTTCGCTTTCCCGGTACCGAGTACATATCCGGTGGTCGAGGATGATAGTGCCCGAGAAGAGGTTGCCTGCTTTCCTCCGCGTCGTCCTCCCCCCTCCGGCCCCCCCTGCTAGTCCCGCGGGGTAATCGAGGCGGGACGAGACGGAACGAGACGATACGAGACGAGACGAGTCGAGTCGAGTCGAGTCGAGTCGGCTCGGCTCGAGTCGAGAGAGTCGCCCTCAGGACACCGACACGAGCGCGTTTCCTCGTCAGCATTGCTCCGCAGGCTCAACACCGCTCCGCTTCAGTCCACCGGCACTCCTGCGCGACACGACAGTCCGCTCGGTAGCACCCGCTTCGCTGCACACGCTCTTCCGACACACTCTCCACGTCTTGGCAGTAACGAGAGATCAGCTGTTTCGTCGACAGCAACGCACTTTTCACCGAGGGACACCCCAGGACACAACAGGACACCCACCACCGCTCCAGGATGAGGGAGATCGTGCATTTGCAGGCTGGACAATGCGGGAACCAAATCGGCGCCAAGGTATGTATTGTCGCGGTCAATAGGAGAGGTTCGTTCACCTGGTTCCTTGACCTAGGTCGTTGTTCCCTGTACAATAGCCAGCCGGCGACCGTAGCCGTTCGCGACTAGCTATTCCCGGGATTCGGTCGGATTCCAGATCCTACTAGATCCTAACGTACCCCGAGAGAAGACGATTTAATCCTTGTCGACTATTCAACGAGAGATTCGGACGATCCTCTATTGTCCAACAGCAGATAAAAATCAGGTGTTCCTGCATTCAGGTCTTGTCTTTTAGAGTATTATTATTATTATTATTATTATTATTATTATTATTATTATTATACATATACCATATTTATATCGTCAAAGATCCAGCTATTCTTCTTATTGTCTTATACCATATAAAAATCAGATGTCTCACTGTCATCATTTTGAAGCTTTCTCGTATTAGATTATTATTTGACACGATATTAGGTCTAGTTAGCCATCTCAGCGATCCTCTACCGTCTTACACCATACGAAAATCAGGTGTATCAGCATTGAAACATTTTCTTCGAAATTATTATTTAGCGTTCGTTGTGCCCAGCCTGTAAAAAAGTCCGTCGGTTCCTCCCTATCGTCTTACAACGCACAGAGCTCGGGTGTCATCACCGAAGCCTCGTTATCCATATTATTATCACGCGTCGGACGTAACCGATCGAATGTACACGGAGATCCTTCATTGTCTCGCAGTTCCGACGCTCGAAAGCAAAATCGATTTTCCCATGCCGGTTCGACGAAGCTCGAGTGTCAACGTCGTTCCGCGATCTCGCGGATTCCTCGTCGATCGATCGCAACGCGACCGTTCCGAATTGACAGCCGACGGGGCCGTGGATTAACGATCGCGAGACAAAAAGGTCGAAACAGACCCGTCCGGTCAAGGGTCATTCGGTGTTCACGGGTCAACGGTGGTAGGAAACGCGAAGTGGGCCGAGATGGGAAGATAGGGCGGTCTCCCGAGAAGAATTCGAGCTCCTAATCGAATTAAAGATAAGACGCCGCTCGGCAATGAGCAGCAATTTGGGGAGCCTCCTCTCTCGTCCGGTCCGCTGGAACCGACTCGGTATTGCCTCCTGTAAAACTGAGAATTCGTTCGCGATGTATCCTCGAATCTGCCGGCGATTAGCTTTCCGAAATCGTTCGCGAAATTTACTCGAATTCCGTCGGAATTTCTTTGGATTCTCGTGCCGTTTGGTCGGTTGTCGACAGTCCCTGTCGCGGACAACCGGACGGAAATTCGTACTTGTCGAAAGTAAAACGGCGACGGTAAAGGGATGCCAGTCATTGTTCTCGCGGAGCCGGCCGTCTCGCGCGGCTGCGTCCCAACCAGGTCGTGAATCATGCACGGACGGGGTGCACGGCGCAGCACGCGAGCGGACGCAGCGTTTCGCGAGCCGCAATTAAGATCGCGGCCGCGATCCGCAGATGCTTTTCGCGATCGGTTCCTCGGACGATCGTTATGCTCTTCCATGTGGAAAACAACCGATCCAGCCGAGCGTGAATCGCGTTCGGGACAAAGGGGGTCCCCGCTCTCTTTGGCAATAGCCTGTTGGACCGATCCACTAATTGGACTGCGGGGAATTAGCGCAACTACACTTCCTCATGAATTTCGAAAATTCCGTTCGATCTTCGTGCAGCGTATTCTCCGTCGCGTGCGAACATCGCATCGATCGATTTATCTTCTTGCGACGAAGCTAATCGTTTCTTTTACGTTTAATTGATGGATAGATTTTATTTGAAGCTTATACAAGTACATGCAGAATTAATTTGAACATTTTATTAAACGCGTTATTGCATACATATTCGACAGAATAATTTTGTCGGGCTCGGAAAGGAATTTTCATGCTTATTTATTGCATCTTCCTAATTTTATTGGGAGCCAATAAACGTAAGATTAATTCGATGAAAAAGAAATCCAAGTGTTAAAGGGAACATTGCTTTAATTTAAATATTGACACTCGCAGAATTATTGGCCAATAAAAGTCNTTGTCTTTTAGAGTATTATTATTATTATTATTATTATTATTATTATTATTATTATTATACATATACCATATTTATATCGTCAAAGATCCAGCTATTCTTCTTATTGTCTTATACCATATAAAAATCAGATGTCTCACTGTCATCATTTTGAAGCTTTCTCGTATTAGATTATTATTTGACACGATATTAGGTCTAGTTAGCCATCTCAGCGATCCTCTACCGTCTTACACCATACGAAAATCAGGTGTATCAGCATTGAAACATTTTCTTCGAAATTATTATTTAGCGTTCGTTGTGCCCAGCCTGTAAAAAAGTCCGTCGGTTCCTCCCTATCGTCTTACAACGCACAGAGCTCGGGTGTCATCACCGAAGCCTCGTTATCCATATTATTATCACGCGTCGGACGTAACCGATCGAATGTACACGGAGATCCTTCATTGTCTCGCAGTTCCGACGCTCGAAAGCAAAATCGATTTTCCCATGCCGGTTCGACGAAGCTCGAGTGTCAACGTCGTTCCGCGATCTCGCGGATTCCTCGTCGATCGATCGCAACGCGACCGTTCCGAATTGACAGCCGACGGGGCCGTGGATTAACGATCGCGAGACAAAAAGGTCGAAACAGACCCGTCCGGTCAAGGGTCATTCGGTGTTCACGGGTCAACGGTGGTAGGAAACGCGAAGTGGGCCGAGATGGGAAGATAGGGCGGTCTCCCGAGAAGAATTCGAGCTCCTAATCGAATTAAAGATAAGACGCCGCTCGGCAATGAGCAGCAATTTGGGGAGCCTCCTCTCTCGTCCGGTCCGCTGGAACCGACTCGGTATTGCCTCCTGTAAAACTGAGAATTCGTTCGCGATGTATCCTCGAATCTGCCGGCGATTAGCTTTCCGAAATCGTTCGCGAAATTTACTCGAATTCCGTCGGAATTTCTTTGGATTCTCGTGCCGTTTGGTCGGTTGTCGACAGTCCCTGTCGCGGACAACCGGACGGAAATTCGTACTTGTCGAAAGTAAAACGGCGACGGTAAAGGGATGCCAGTCATTGTTCTCGCGGAGCCGGCCGTCTCGCGCGGCTGCGTCCCAACCAGGTCGTGAATCATGCACGGACGGGGTGCACGGCGCAGCACGCGAGCGGACGCAGCGTTTCGCGAGCCGCAATTAAGATCGCGGCCGCGATCCGCAGATGCTTTTCGCGATCGGTTCCTCGGACGATCGTTATGCTCTTCCATGTGGAAAACAACCGATCCAGCCGAGCGTGAATCGCGTTCGGGACAAAGGGGGTCCCCGCTCTCTTTGGCAATAGCCTGTTGGACCGATCCACTAATTGGACTGCGGGGAATTAGCGCAACTACACTTCCTCATGAATTTCGAAAATTCCGTTCGATCTTCGTGCAGCGTATTCTCCGTCGCGTGCGAACATCGCATCGATCGATTTATCTTCTTGCGACGAAGCTAATCGTTTCTTTTACGTTTAATTGATGGATAGATTTTATTTGAAGCTTATACAAGTACATGCAGAATTAATTTGAACATTTTATTAAACGCGTTATTGCATACATATTCGACAGAATAATTTTGTCGGGCTCGGAAAGGAATTTTCATGCTTATTTATTGCATCTTCCTAATTTTATTGGGAGCCAATAAACGTAAGATTAATTCGATGAAAAAGAAATCCAAGTGTTAAAGGGAACATTGCTTTAATTTAAATATTGACACTCGCAGAATTATTGGCCAATAAAAGTCATTACGTGTGACTTACGCAATGACTTATCGGCGAACGTAATATTATCTTTCTTTTACGCAGCAATTACATTTATTACGTTTATTTTTCTGTATCTCTTGCCGTCGCTCGAACATAAACAATGGCCAGACGGTATCAAGTGTCAAGGCAGGCCTCGAGCTCCGGGTCCGTAAAAAAACCCGGACGTGGTCATCCCAGAGGGTCACCCCCCCTTAGTCCTCCTTACTCCGCGTTACAGTATCGATTGGAAAATTTAACGGCAGTTCGAACAATAAAAGTTTAGAGTCTAACGACCTTTGCGGGCCGGTCAGAGTCACTGAGAGGAGGTCGTCCCCCCAGAGAACGAAAGGTCCTCGCACGAGGGGACAAGGCAGGACGCGTCACCTCGTTGCCGCGAGCATGGTCGCAGCCTATTAATAGTGCGGAGAAAATAGTGAAAGCGAGACGAATGTAGAAGACGAACGAGCCAGGTCGGGGGAGAGGGTGGCCCCACCCGAGCCCAGGGGGCAGAGGCCGCGTTAATTCGGTGCGGCCGTATTTTTAGCCTCGTCGCGATATCCTTGTCCTCGGTCGGCCGGCTTTTATCCATTTCGGTTCGACGGGCGCCGATTCTCGACACTGATCTCGATTCGAATTTTTTCCAGTTTTGGGAAGTGATCTCCGAGGAGCACGGGATCGACCAGTCCGGTATCTACCACGGGGACAGCGATCTTCAGCTGGAGCGGATCTCGGTGTACTACAACGAGGCATCCGGTAAGTTGCAGAGAACGATTCTAGAACGGTCGGGAAACGATCGCGCCGGTTCGTCGACATTATCACGGATCGCTCGTCGCCGGCCGGTTGCTTTCGCGAATTCCACGCGCGCGCCAAAATAGAAGCTGTCTCTCTGTTTCGCGATAGGAGGAACGCCATGAAAAAGGAGCGCGGAGAGCAACAGACAGCAAGGACCGCGTTTAGACGCTGGAAATAGCCGTTCACCCCTGGCTTTTCGATACGCCGGCTAAGTTTTCGCCTCGCGTCCTCGTTCGCCGGCCTCGCCCAGTCATGCTACACCGTTCCTGAAACGAAATTCGCCGGCCGACCGGCTAATTTGCAAGCCGTACAGGCACCGGCAGCGTCACCCGAAGCCGTATAAGACACGCGTTTCCGTCGGCCGAGCCATTGTCGCCGCGAGTTTTCAGCCGGAATGACAATAACTACGAAACACGATTAATATGGGCGCGTGCCTTCTTCGCCGGTCGTTTGTAACCCTCCGCCGTCTCCTAATTTCCTAATGCGGCGAGCCGCAAGACGCCACGGCGCGCACGAACAACGTCCTGGCTAGTTTTGCCGACAGGATTTCTTTCATTTTCTATGCTTCACCGGCGCGATGCTCGAGGAGAACGCGGCTAGTTTATGGAAAAGATTACCATAATTTTCTTTGCGCGACTGGCACGGTACGCCAGCGAACAAGCTTCTTAACTATTTTATGCCGCTCGAAAGACTGCTGCTATTTTGTCGATAGAATTCCCATCATTTTCTATACGTGACCAGCAGAACGATGCACAAAGACAGCATGCTAGAGACAAGGAAGCTTGAAGACTGTTTTAGGGGGCTGGAAAGACTGCAGCTATTTTCGTGATGGGATTTTCAATGGTTTTTGTTTTTACTTGATCAACAGGGTGTTGGAAAAGACAGGATAATATAAGCAAACAAACTTCCCAATTGTGTTGTCCGAAGGACAATTTCTTAAGTATTTTATTCAGATGACGATGCCCTGACTATTTTATCCAAGGGACAGTTTTCTAAGTATTTTATCCAAAGAACAACTTCTAAGTATTTTATCCAAAGGACGATTTTATAAGTATTTTATTCAAATGACCACTTCCTGACTATTTTATCCAAAGGACAACTTCCAACTATTTTATCCAAAGGACAATTTCCTAAGTATTTTATTCAAATGACAGCTTTCTGACTATTTATCCAAAGGATAATTTCCTAAGTATTTTATTCAAAGGATAACTTCTAATTGTTTTATCCAAAGGACAACTTCCAACTATTTTATCTAAAGGACAAGTTCCTAAGTATATTATCCAAAGGACAATTTCCTAAGTATATTATCCAAAGGACAATTTCCTAAGTATTTCATACAAATGATGACTTCCTGACTATTTTATCCAAAGGACAACATTTCAATTATTTTATCCAAAGGACAACTTCCCATCCATTTTGTCCAAAGGACAGCTTGCTAAAAATAGATATCTTCCTAGAGTCTTCTCTTAACGCGCGCGATGTTCACTGAATGCCTCCAGTCTAAAAATCATTCTTACAAAGTGCATCGAAAATTGAACAGTATCCTATTTAAGCGGACCAAGTTCCCATGAATTGTGCGACATTGTCTTAAAGCGTTCGCAAGAATATTTTCGCCATCGTTAGACAGCACCTCAGGATCGTTATCAAAGACTTGCGTCTATTTCAGTCGCCACGTCGACGAATGGAGGGAAATACGTGCCCAGGGCGATCCTGCTGGACCTCGAGCCGGGTACGATGGACGCGGTGCGTTCGGGCGCATATGGGAAGCTGTTCAGGCCGGACAACTTCGTGTTCGGACAATCCGGAGCGGGTAACAACTGGGCGAAAGGACACTACACGGAGGGCGCTGAGTTGGTAGACTCTGTTTTGGACGTGGTGCGTAAGGAGTGCGAGAACTGCGACTGTCTCCAAGGCTTCCAGCTGACCCATTCTCTGGGCGGCGGCACCGGGTCGGGTATGGGAACCTTGCTGATCTCCAAGATTCGCGAGGAATATCCGGACAGGATCATGAACACGTACTCGGTGATGCCGTCGCCAAAGGTGTCGGACACCGTCGTCGAGCCGTACAACGCGACGCTGTCGGTTCACCAGCTTGTGGAGAACACGGACGAGACGTACTGCATCGACAACGAAGCCCTGTACGATATCTGTTTCCGCACGCTGAAGGTCTCGAATCCTAGCTACGGGGACCTGAACCACCTGGTCTCGCTGACGATGTCAGGCGTGACGACCTGCCTAAGGTTTCCCGGACAGTTGAACGCGGATCTGAGGAAGCTGGCGGTGAACATGGTCCCGTTCCCCCGGCTGCACTTCTTCATGCCGGGATTCGCTCCTCTGACCTCTAGATCGATGCAACAGTACTCGGCGCTCTCTGTGCCGGAGCTGACGCAGCAGATGTTCGACGCGAAGAACATGATGGCCGCCTGCGATCCGAGGCACGGAAGATACCTCACCGTCGCCGCCGTTTTCCGGGGTCGGATGTCGATGAAGGAGGTCGACGAGCAGATGCTGAGCGTGCAGAACAAGAACAGCTCGTACTTCGTCGAGTGGATACCGAACAACGTGAAGACGGCCGTGTGCGACATCCCGCCGAAGGGGCTGAAGATGTCGTCGACCTTCATCGGCAACACCACCGCCATTCAGGAGCTGTTCAAGAGGATCTCGGAGCAGTTCACCGCCATGTTCCGCAGGAAAGCGTTCCTGCATTGGTACACCGGAGAGGGTATGGACGAGATGGAGTTCACCGAGGCCGAGTCGAACATGAACGACCTGGTGTCCGAGTACCAGCAGTACCAAGAGGCCACGGCGGAGGAGGACTTCGAGGCCGAGGAGTGCGCGGACGACTTCGAGACCTGCGATCAGGAGTAGACTGTCTACTTCCGAACGAGTAAAGGCCGATTTGTGTCGTTCGTTCGGGCACGGAACGTTTGCGGAACGTTTCGCGGTTCGGGCAAGTGCGACGTTCTAGTATTTTATGTCAGCCGTTCGAATCCTTTCGGTTGTACGTACAATTATCGCGGTTGACGCTAGATTTATCGAGCACTGTACGCGGCTCTTTCATATTAGTTTGTAATAGTTAGGAATAAGACGTTTATTCTAATTTTTCCACAAGTAATTCGTACATTGAATAAATCACTCGTAAATGTATCTTTGAACAATTTTGACCGGTTCGGTAAGCATAGTGTTGAAAATGTTTCCACATTTATCGGTAAAAGATCTGCGCTACGCAGCGGTATTGTTCGATGAAGAGGGAGGAGAATAGGAAAAGGAAACGTCGTTTTGCTGTACATCAAATTTTCGAGGAAAGTTAATGGATAATATTGGACATTATTGTCAAAGAATTAGGTTCTTACTAACTCTCTTCATTTTTGGTTATCCATATTGAGTTAGTTTACGTCACGCGTCCGTCTTTAACGAGATTTTGGTCCGCGATACTAAATATAATCAGTCGAATCGGTTTATAATAATATCCGCCAGAACCGAGCCGCTTCGTGAACGTTCCGTGGCTTAACAGAGGATACAAATCGATCTTAAACCCTCCGCCCTCTCTCGCCCGTCTATCGAAAGCGGCCCGAGTCGGTTCCGGGCACACGTGGTTCGCTTTTTATACTTTTATACGCGATAGGGCATCTTCTTCAGTTTCGCTTCTTTTTTCATGGAGTTCGAAGGACATCGAGGCTGGCCGAGGGAGACGCGTCGCTCGCTTCAGCGGTAGAGGGTCACGGAGGGGGCGGTGGTAGACAAAGACAATCCCCGACGACCAAACGCCAAAGCACCGCAACCAAAAATCTGCCTTCTCTGTTACATCCGCAAACATTATTCATATATCGTAAGCCTGTAATCGTGGCACGCGTTTTACGGTAGCGCAAGTTTGTTCCTTACGAAAATATAAGAATTTTTTCAAGTACACACAAGTCACCCTCCATCATCCTAAGGGCGTGTCGCAGCAGCGATCGAAAGGGTTCCGAATATTACCGTTCTCGGCCCGTTTCACGTCTACGGCGGTGTGCATAATTTTGGACTCGAAGTAACTTTCGCGTTGTCACCGATATGTAAACGAAAACTTAACAAAATGTCGCATCTGTATATTTTTTATATTAGAAGTAACATATCTCTAGATTAGAAGTTATATATTCCTACATTAGAAATAATCGGAAATATTTCGTTAAGTTTTTGTTCGCTGGAATGTAAAATGTAAAATCACTAAAAATGTAAAAGTTATCAGTCTGTAATTATTCACACCACTGTATACATATATTGTGCATCGGTACTGATTGGAACAGTTATGAAAAATCGAGAAGATCTCATGATTAGATTTCATCTCCTGATTTTTGCCACGAATGCATAAAATCCGCAGTTTATCTATAAAAGTTGTGAGACTTCTTCGGTTCTCCACAACTGTTTCAAGAACCGCAACCAATATCATAATTGTCTTCACCCCCTGCTTTACAGTGATCGTTGTTTATTCAATGTTTCAGGTCCGATGGAATTTCGCGAAATAGCTTTAGATTGTTTCGTACGGCTGCCTCGAGGTCTGCGCTGAATATTTTCGCCGTCCAGCCACGATCACGTCACAGAGGATCGGCGTTTTCGGTGTTCGCCTCTTGCTGCTGCTGTTGGTACTCCGCGATTAGGTCGCGCATTTTCCCCTGAACGTCCGTAAATTCCGACTCGTCCATCCCTTCCGCGGTGTACCAGTGAATGTACGCCTTCTTCTTCAGCATGTCGTTGAAGCCGCTCATCAGCCTCTTCAGCGGCTCTTGGAACGTAGTCGTGTTCGATATCAGGGTCGCGTTCATCGAGACTCCCCGAGGAGCGACCTTGCAGACCGCGGTTTGAACGTTGTTCGGGATCCACTCGACGAAGTTAGGGCTGTTCTTGTTCCGTACGATGTACATTTGCTCCTCCACGCGCTGAAATAGACCGTCCGCCGAACGATGCAGAATGTACGCCGAAACGTAGTTCAATATTAATGTGATATCGTTAAGTAAATGTTATTAATATTATTATGAGATAGTGCAAATATGGAGGCAAATGAAAGTATGTGTTAAGGGTATGGAAAACTATATTTCTACATTATGATTATCAATTTATTACGTATACGTATAGAATCTATAAATTTTATACGTATATGTAATAGATGGATGAATTTTTAATATAGTTTCAATATAGTCTTTCATACTTTAATTTCTACTTTCAATAGCTTCCTTATTTACGTTACAGCCAATTTTGTTTTTACACGGTAGATACGGAAAAATGGTACTAAAATAATAAATAGTACTAAAAATATATCTAAAAAATGTTGTTTAATGCAAGCATTTGAATCGAGTAGCATTTTTCACCATGCTAAATCGAATAAAGTTGTGTAAAAAAGAAAATCGAATTGCTTCTTCTAGTCTCTGTTGAATGAAAACCGTGTAAAAACAAAGTCGACTGCGCTGCACACTAATATAAATAACATCCAATGAACGATATATCACATTAACATTCAATCACATTTCGACACTGATCCGATCAAGTCGCTGGCCGTTCGCATTCGCTGTCGGTTCTCGTCGAACCGATCATGAACAAATACAAACGAACATCGGTTTCGCACCTTGGTCGACGCGTTTCCGCGGAAAATCGCAGCTGCGGCGATGGTCTTGCCAGCGGCGGGATCGTAATCGACGAGCGCGTTGCTAGGATTGAACAATTGTCTGGCTAGCTCGGGCACGGACGCGACCGCGTACTGCGCGGCGCTCCTAGAGGTCAAAGGTGCGTATCCGGCGACGAAGAAGTGCAACTTGGGGAACGGGACCAGGTTTACGTGAAGCTTTCGCAGATCGGCGCTAGGTTGTCCGGGGAATCTGAAGCAGCAGGTCACGCCGGCCATGCACGCGGATATCAGGTGATTGGTGTCGGCGTAAGTCGGCGTGGCGATGCGCTGCAGCCTCGAGCAGACGCGGTGCAACGCGTGATTGTCCATGCAGAAGCATTGGTCGGCGAACTCGATCGACGCGCCGAGGGCTAGGACCGCGTTGTACGGCTCCACCACGACGTCCGACATCTTCGCCGAGGGCATCACGCTGTAGCATTTCACTATCCTACTCGGGTACTCCTCCTTCAGCTTGGTCATCAGCAACGCGCCCGCTCCTGACCCTGTCCCGCCGCCCAAAGATCGGACCAGCTGGATACCTGGCCCATCGTGGTCCGCGAAGTCAGCGATTGACGTGGTTGCGAAAATAAGTTAGACTGCAGATTTTTAGGCTAGATAGTAATTGCACCGATTGCACGAAGTCGAGGGTAGATAGCGAGTTCATTCTTCCTTTAACACTAGATTTACGGAGCGCTGTGAGAACAGCTGTTTTATATCAGTTTATAAAAGCCACGGTCAGATATTTATTCTGATCTTTACGATCCGATTAATCGTAAATTAAAAGATCAGTGTCATTTTGACGGGTTTCGTGAACCTAGTGTTGATCCTTTCAATAGATTGAACATAACAAATTGAAATTAATCAATTTGTTTAATCCTTATAATATGTTTAATTATAACTACTGATGCATAAAATCCGCAGTCTAATTATGAGAGTTTCTCGGTTCTTCGTTCGCCAAGAATCGAAACCGATATCGTAACCGTTTTCAACCCTTGCCCAAGACACCCAATGCTTTGAATCATCAACGATTGTATGCCTTTCATTTACTGAAGTCTTGCTACGCCTGATCCAGACGAAGCTTCGAGCAACGAACGAGAAATTAGCTTCTAGCAAGGCGTCGACCGGCGTTCACCTTGCAAGAGGTCGCAAGCTTCGGCTTCCGCGCGTACGACATCCAAAGCCTCGTCGACGACGCCCGCACCCTCGCTATAGTATCCCTTCGCCCAATTGTTTCCCGCGCTCTCGCGTCCAACCACGAAGCTCTCGGGCTTGAACAGACCGCCGCATTTCCTAGACAGCGCGGAGCTCAACGCTTTGGAGTCGAGATCGATCAGGACCGCCCTCGGGACGAATCTGCCGCCTGGAAAGTTGCGGATGACACCGGATAATCGTCTGAAACCGTCGATTTATCACGATAATACCTTGACCCTCGGCGAAGTAAACGTTGATCCGCTGCAACCGCATGTCCGACGAATCGTCCCCGTCGAAGACGCCGTCCCGGTGCAGGCCATGCTCGTCGCAGATCTTCTCCCAGAACTAGAAACGAGACTTTTGCAGCTGGAAAGCAGACGCACGGGTGTCCTTGGTTACCTTGGTGCCGACGTTGTTTCCGCACTGGCCGATCTGCACGTGCACTATTTCTCTCATTTTTCGCGGTCTCTCGGCCGTTTCGGTGGACTGGAATTTCGTTGGGATTCGTTGGAACGGGGGTTACATCGCGTCGGCCTCGCGGCCGAGGTCAAGGATAAAGGGAGCTATCGATGCCCCGGATTTTTGGTTAGGGGAAAAAAATAAAAGAATGAACGAACGATAACGCGCGTTCGGCGATCGACGCGGCCGCGGAGCCCGCATTAGCGTTCATTCCGAGCGATTCGCAACGGCACGCAATAATAAAGTGTTTGTCCTCGGGGGCACCGATGAGATAATACGTGATCGCCAATTTTTGCCAAGGTCTTGGCTTCATCAATCCCCCAGTTGGTTAGAAGGACGAGCACGAGTTCGATGACGCGGCACGCGACACGTGCTCTCTCGATCCGATCTAGAGCTGTTTCTGCAGGAATCGTCTCTCGCTGCTGCTCTTCGCGATCGGTCCGGATCGTTGCGAACGGCTGCCTATTGTTAAACAGTGCTCGATTGTTGCAAACGTATCCGGGCGGGTGAATAATGTCTCCGCCATGCGTTTATTTTTCTTATAAATGCACGCAAGATCCGCGGTCTAGATTCGAGAACGAAAACGATCGCAGTCGGGTATTTAATAATTTTGTAAATCCTTGAAAATCGTTGAAAATCCTTGAAAATCCTTGTAAAAAGGCGTAAGGAGAATCGTTCTCGAAGGAAATGTCTTCGCTTGCAATTCGCATCATTCTTTAACGAGAGACGTCAGATGAGCGATACCCGCGTCTCCTTTCTAGAACTATAGTTAAAAGTTTCTTCCGGGACAATCGAAGAAAAGAACGTCGTTGTGAATGTTCAACAAACCAATACATTTCTCTAAATCACATATAAGGTATAAAGTATACACGTATAATAGGGTAGATAGATAGAGGTGTGTACATATGCATGTGTATAAGGGTGTCTACAATTAATATAAAAATCGATCGAAACTGGACCTTGAAAGGGAAGGTAAGATACCGATAAATCGCGTTGCTAATACGAATGCAAAGCCACTACAACCATTTTGACAAGAGATTCGGTGTTCAAGCAAGAGTTCTCGCGTGAAGCGTCACGAGGAATTTCATCGAGACGAGGACCCTGGAGAAAGAGATCTGTCGATCCGACGATCTGTTGATCCGTTGATCTGTTGATCTGACGATCTGACAATATGTTGATCTGTTGATTTGACCATCTGTTGATTTGACCATCTGTTGATCTGTTGATCTGACGATCTGTAGATTTGACGATCTGTTAATCTTGCGGTTTATTGACCTGTTGATCTATTGATCTGACGATCTGTGAATCTGTGGATCTGTCGATCAGTCGATCTGTGGATCTACTTCTCCTCCGCAACGACCACATCGACGTATTCCCCCTCGTCCTCCGCGGTCGCGTCCTGGTACTGCTGGTACTCCGAGACCAGGTCGTTCATGTTCGACTCGGCCTCTGTGAACTCCAGCTCGTCCATGCCCTCGCCGGTGTACCAATGCAGGAAAGCCTTTCTCCTGAACATGGCGGTGAACTGATCGGAGATCCTCTTGAACAGTTCCTGAATGGCGGTCGAGTTCCCGATGAACGTCGCGGACATCTTGAGTCCACGAGGCGGAATATCGCAGACGGCTGTCTTCACGTTGTTCGGTATCCACTCGACGAAGTACGCGCTGTTCTTGTTCTGAATATTCAGCATCTGTTCGTCGACCTCTTTCATGGACATCCTACCGCGGAAAACGGCCGCCACCGTCAGAAACCGGCCGTGTTTCGGGTCGCACGCGGCCATCATGTTCTTCGAGTCGAACATTTGTTGTGTCAGCTCGGGAACCGTCAGCGCCCGATACTGTTGGCTGCCTCTGGCGGTCAGAGGCGCGAATCCCGGCATGAAGAAGTGCAGCCGCGGGAACGGGACCATGTTCACGGCCAGCTTCCTCAGGTCGGCGTTCAGCTGTCCGGGGAACCTGAGGCAGGTGGTCACGCCGGACATGGTGGCGGAGACTAGATGGTTCAGGTCGTTGTAGGACGGCGTGGAGAGCTTCAGGGTGCGGAAGCAGATGTCGTAGAGCGCCTCGTTGTCGATGCAGTACGCCTGGTCGGTGTTCTCCACCAGCTGGTGAACGGACAGGGTGGCGTTGTACGGCTCGACGACGGTGTCGGACACCTTGGGCGACGGCACCACCGAGAACGTCGCCATGATCCTGTCCGGATAATCCTCGCGGATCTTCGAGATCAGCAAGGTGCCCATCCCTGACCCGGTGCCGCCGCCTAAGGAGTGGGTCAGCTGGAAGCCCTGGAGACAGTCGCAGCTCTCCGCCTCCTTTCTGACCACGTCCAGGACGGAGTCCACCAGCTCCGCGCCCTCGGTGTAGTGTCCCTTCGCCCAGTTGTTACCGGCTCCGGACTGGCCGAACACGAAGTTGTCCGGTCGGAAGATCTGCCCGAACGGACCCGAGCGGACAGCGTCCATGGTGCCTGGCTCGAGGTCGACGAGGATCGAGCGGGGCACGTACTTGCCGGCAGACGCCTCGCTGTAGTAGACGTTGATCCTCTCCAGCTGGACGTCCGAGTGGCCATGGTAGGAGCCGGTCGGGTCGATGTCATGCTCGTCCGAGATCACCTCCCAGAACTGTCGTTCGAAAACATGGTTTACGTCGCCGTACGAAACGGTGTCTCTCCCTTCGCAACCGGATCACCCCGGTCTCCTCTCGGTGCTCTCTCGGTTTCGCTCGCGTTCAACGAACCCGTCCGAGTCTCGGCGCGATGTATAACCTCGCCGCGAGAATCCTCGCGGAGCGAAACGGAGAGCTCCGCCGTAGACCGGGGAGAAGCACGCTCGGTAACATGAACTCGACGCGAGTTGGCAGCACGGTTTTTTTCACGGAACAACCTCCTATCCGTCTCCTCGTCTGTCGCGAGGTTAGCTGTCACGGTTTCGTCGGTCGTCGGCGGGGGCAGCGTTCCGCGCGATCTCGCGCCGCGAGCCCGTCTCGAGTCTTCGCCGCGGACGCACTGACCTTGGCACCGATCTGGTTGCCGCATTGTCCGACCTGGATGTGCACGATCTCCCGCATTCTCACGACGCCCGTCTGGACGGACCACACTTGGTTCGAACGCGTCCACGAGGGTCACCACCTGGGTCACCACCTGGGTCCGGGTCAACGGAACGATGCCACCGACTCGGCTCGTTTGGCGCCTTTCAACGACGAGGTTTCCGGCTCGAGGGTCCTCGACTCGTGGTCGGCTCGACGTCCAAAATGTCCGCGGGCAAACAGAAACAGCCGACTGCTCGGTTCACCTTGGCGACATGGCAGCGAGCAACGGGTCTTCCGCGACTGTAGCGCGCGACAATGTTTAATACCCTGTAGCAAATGGTTTCCGCGGCCGAACGAACGCGGCCTCCGCTTATACTGATGGTTATAATACAACGCGCCGCCGCGGTCCTTCATTGCGTCCTTTTACGTTCGATTACGGCCACCGTCGTGTTCTCACGCTCTTCGTCCACCTCGGCCGCATCTCTGCCACCTTCCATCACCCTCCAAGCAGGATCCTCCTCCGGGCGATCGCTTCTCGGCTGATCGTGGCAGGAGCTGGCCGCCTCCTGCTCCTCCTCGTCCTCTTGAGACTTCGACGCCGAGGATCTGCTCCCGGGACGACCGTTCGCCGAACATCTTAGTGGCATCGACTCGCGCTTGCTTTCGTGGTTCTTCCTCTTTCTGAGGGGGAACAAGGATTTAGTTATATATATAAAAGCGGTGTAAGTCACGGTTTCGACCAGTTAGCTGTGCTCGATTGGGAAGAGGATATTCATTGGACTGTGCGATCAAGAATGGAATCTTTGAAGCTGAAGAAAGTGCGCGAAAGCCAGTGGATTGTCAATCTTAGAAGAATTGGCGGAAATATACTTGGATCGTGAAAGATAAAAAATGGAATCCTCGAAGGGGTTGAAGAAAATAACCGCGGAAGACGTTGGATGATCAGTTATTGAAAAATCGGAAGAAACTGACCAGAAGCCAGTGAATTATTAATTTCAAAAGAAGAAGAAGCCGAGAATAGCAGACCTTGAAGATGATGAGGTAACAAAAAGCCTCGGAATAGACAATGATTGAAGAAGAAGGGTAGAAAGACGAGTCTTGAGAAACCACGAAGAGGGTGCATTCGAAGCTGAAAAGACACGAACCTCGGCAAGGTTGGGCAGGACCACAGCTTGAAATCAGCCCCGAAGAGCTCGCCCTCCTCGATCGTTTGCGGCAGGTGAATATTCAGGGTCTCCGGCAGGAAGATAGAAGTGAGCGCGCCAGCTACGCTCAGCGTCCCCATGATGATGAGAGGCAGGACCCTGGAGTAGACGGCCAGGTGCACGATATAAGGGAACGCGAGGAGGCCGATTCCCGCGATGAACGAGGCGATGCCCATCGCCTGGGACCTCAGCACCGTCGGCAGCAGTTCTCCAACGAACACGTAGAACACAGCGAAAGAGGCAGCGATCCCGAATTTACCGATCATCGCCAGGCACACGGTCACCCAGACGGCGTCTGCTACGGCAGAGACTCTTTCATCCGCGATTGTTCGCGATCGATGCGATCGTTATTGGAACGAACGGCGCACAGTGGTCCGGGAAGCGATAATTTTTAATTCAGTTTTCATAATTGGACAACATTTGTTGGCCTGCGTATTAATAACTACCCCTTGGAAATTGATGTCCAGAATTTTAATGAACTTCATTGATTTTCACTTGGATTACAAGTGAAATCCAGAACTGCGGGTTATTTTTATTAAATCTTATTTTTTTTATTTAATGATTTAACAGTACAAATATTTGAAGAGTTCAGGACTGTTGTAATATTATTTTCGATTTATGAAAATACTTCGGAGATGAAGTAAATTTTTATTTTGGTCTTGTTACTTTTATGAGCCGTGGAACATTTTTATTTTGCATTATTTTACATCCGCAGTCTAATAATAATAGATATAGATTTTACGTTATTACTGGACCGCGGATTTTATGCGTTCGTTACAAAAATGAATCAGCGACATTTAAAACAACGACAATGTTGAAACAATTTACAGGCACGTATGCATTATTTTTAATTAACTGAAATTGGTGAAGGAAGAGAACAATTTCCGGCTGACTCATGTTCGTTGCAACAAATCCGGACAATTTATATTTTGCAGGAAGATCCGCAGTCTGATTATCACTGATATCTAAATGAAGTCTTAGCAAAATATCATATTTCTATGCTTTTATGTTCTATTATTTCGAATATAGAAATATGCAACGTGACGTAAAGTTTTGGTATAAATATCACTAAAAACGTAACAATTTCCAAACAAAAGTCGGTCAATATTCACTTTTCTCTATATTAAAAGTTTTCAAAAAGAAATTCTTTCTTCTAGAAAATTCTGGCGCCCTTCACTTTTTAAAATGTTAACGCGACCTATTACTGTGCTTTGATCTTAAATCTCGAAGCAACTCTAAAATAATTTCAGCTATGGAAATCGAATTCCCAGACCACTCTGCGACGGAAGAAACGAAACCGCGTACCTTCGGGAACGAACATGCAGGATACGCAGGCAACTCCTCCTAGGAGCATCGTCAGACAGAGGACCCATCTTCTGCCGAGTCTGTCCATCGCGTACCAGGTGATCACGTACGAGGGGATCTCCACGAGCCCACCTGCAAGAAGGAGATCATCGAAGGTGCTCGACGCGTGACGTAGACTTACAGGACGATCGGGGGATTCCGTAGCGTCGCGGAAGTCCGATAAGATTTCCGCAGCGTCGCGTTCCGGGAAAACAAGAAATTGTAGAACAATCTGACGAATTTCTGAACAGCTAATTATCGAGCAGCTAATTTTCATAGAAAGAACAGAGGACGTGGACAATTTTCAGAGACAGCACCCTCTGTATCATCGCGCTAATCATCTCTGCAGCAAAGCGGAGTGGTTTCATAAGAAGGGAGAAACGGTTTCTTCAATTTACGGGCCATTTAATCGCGCACGAAACGGCGACAGGCGATCCTGAAGATACAAAACCCTTTTCCCTCCGTACCGTCGCGCCCCAATCGCATCAGCGAGCCTTCCAAGAGCGCGCTGTTCGGGAGCGAAAGGACGATCGGTCGGAAGAACGGCTATCGGACATCTCGATTTCGTGCGGTTCGTGTCGCACGGGAGACGCGACGGTACGGGGGGAGGAGCGGTTGCAGCGTAATAGACGAGATTGCATCGATTCGAGTCGAATCGCGTCCGCGGCACGGACGTTCCGCGTTCTCCGGCGCATTGCGTATGCAGCGCACGCGATCGCATGCTACACGCTGCGCGTCGAAAACATGTTTACGAGGGAGGCGGAGCGTCGCGAAGCCAAGGTCTCTCGGCTGCAGAAGCAGCGACGGTAGCAGCTCCGTTACCAATGAAGAAGGCCAGGTAATCGGAGACGCCGAGGTTCGTCGCGTTGTACGACAGCCCGTTGTAGACGACCGCGTTCGCCACCCAGTCGAACGCCAGGATGAAGAACTTCTTCCTGATGTTAGGGTTGCGGACCAGGTCCATCGGGGTGGCCGCCGGCGGAGGAGACCTGTCCTCGGCCTGCACCGTCTCGTTCTCACCGGGATTCGTACCGTTGCAGGATATCCCCTGCCTCCTCAGGATCTCCAGCTGAAAGGACAGAGATCGTGACCCTGGTAGCACGAGGACGTCTTTGAGACGTCTTTGGGACGTCTTCGGGACGTCTTTTGGACGTCTTTGGGACGTTTTTAGAACGTTTTTGGGTCGTCTTTGGGACGTCTCATCCAAGACATCTTTGGGACGTCTCATTCAAGACGTCTTTGGGACGTCTCTAACACGTTACCAGACTGCGGATCTTCGTGCAAAATAGAAATCGTCGTGGTTTCGCAAATCAAACAGAAACGAGATAAAAATGTTTTATTCTTTTAATCATGTCAGTACACTCAGTCATTGTCATTCTCTCTTTCGTTTCTTATTCCATGTTGCGTTTACCCATTTTTTCTATGAATGCATCAAATCCGCAGTCTGCGCATTACCGTCCGGATGACTAAAAATAGTCGTTTTCTTGATTAGTAAACACAGTAAACGGAGTAGAACTATTCGCATCTGCGAACATTGTCACGTACCTCTTCGCAGAGGCACGTATCCTAGATTTTGAACGAAGCAACGTATCTTACAATCGAATTTCATTCAGTTGTCTGATATTTTATAAGTTCTATCAATTTTTGTAAAGGGATGCGACGACCTTGAAGTTCACCGATTTCGCGGTAAGTCGTCTCGACGATGTCTCGACGACGTCTCAACGACGTCGACCGGACCTTTACCTCCATCTTCCTGAGGAAATTGCTGGGCACGGTCTTCCCGTTGATCTTGGCCATCCGCTGCACGATCACCTCCGCCTCGTCGATCCTGTTCTTGCTGAGCAACCACCGCGGCGACTCGGGGATGATCCAGTAGTAGCTGAAGAGGAGGACGAAGGGGACCGAGGTGGCCAGCGACAGAGCGAACCAGTGTCGCAGCAAGTAACCCTGCGGACAGAAACGATTGTTTCGAGCAGGATGACCAGCTTTGATCAAAGAAGCAAGAGAGAGAGAGAGAGAGAGAGAGAGACAGAGAGAGAGGGATGGAGGGTGGGTCTCGATTACCAGCAAGGCTAACAGAGACATCGCCGACGCGAAGAACATGCAGATCACCATCCCGGCGAACGTTCTGTACCTGGGTCCCATCATCTCCAAAGCTGAAACAACAGCGTTCCAATTTCTGGCCACGGTCGTTCCCGCTCGACTCGCGTCTCAGCGCCGTATTTCGAAGCTTACCAAGTATGAACGGTATCTGGTAGATCGCGGGAAAGAACAGACCGTTGATGGTCCTCATCGCCGTGTATATGACGTAGTTCGGGCTGAAGCTGGTGGCGATCGAGAAGATCACCTCCAGGAAGAGGATCGCGAAGAACGCGGTCCTACGGCCCCATTTGTCGGCGATCCAGCCGAACACCACGTTACCGAACAGGCTGCCGACGTAGAAGAAGGTCGTGGACGTGGAAGGCCACCAGCTGTTGTCGCATACCAAGTCTAGCTATGTGGATGCAAAATGCCATTAAAACGCTGGATCTGTCGCAAGTCCGGTCGAATCGGTAACGAACGATCGACCGACAACAAGCGAGAACAATGGAACTTGGCGACGCAGATAACAGCAGGCGAAGGTGAGAAATTCGATTGGAAGCCAATATGCGTTTGTGCACATGCTCAATGTTTTCTTAGGGAAATTTTACTGAAAGCGAAGCAATTTTATAGAAGTTGTTTGTTTCTGTCTTTTAAATAAGTTAAATGTGCTTTATTTTCATTGTTATGTACGTACATATTTGAAAGTGTGGTATTTATTAGTTATAAGCGAGTTAGAGTTGTTCATTCTCTCCACGTTACATTTTTGTTGCAGTCTTGGAAACTAATTAGTTTCCCCTATTTCCTTTCGTTTGGCACACGTTTTATCTGCTCCCGAGTGCTCTTTCACGAGATATTTTATAAAACGGGACTAATTGCTGCTTTCTTTTTGTTATTTATTGATGTTTGAATATATTCAAAAATTATTTATAAATATATTCAAAATATTTCTTAATTATTGTACTACTCGTCGATATATTTCGTTGATTTTTTTTATGACAAAAAGTCACGTTAACAATTAAATTTACTAAATACAAATACGGTTCAATCGCTAACAATATTCAAATATAACTATTTTAGTGGAAAATTCATTTTGTTCTTTTTGCAGTTACGTGTGCTCTGTGCGCCGTTGGAAACATGCTCGGGGACCCGTCGGATCGTCGACGAAACGACAAGAGATTGCGGATATCTGACGCGAAACCATGCGCGGCATCATGTGCGGGCGATATCGCGCCATCATCGCGGAAGTGTCATTGCTCCGGTCATATAGCGCGATCGGTCGAACGTGTTTAGATCTTTCGGGACCCAAACTTCGTTAGAGACCATCATCATCATCCTTTCGCTATAGAAATGACGATCGAACGGATCTTCTTTCGACCGTTTCTCGCTGTTAAGGAAATTGGGGCGTTCGCGTTTGGTGAACCGGAAACTGCAGACCTGGCACTGCAACTTGTAATCAAAAGCAGAGATCCACTTTTGGGTAGTAATGACGCAACGGATGCGCGGGGGAGGGGGAGGGGAAACGTCGTTTGACTACAACTGATGCAACAGTGCGGAAGAGAAGAGACGCAACAGTGCAGAAGAGCAGTTACCAGGTCCTCCAGAAGGTGATACCGTTCAAGGTGAACGTCTTCACCCTTCTGCGCTATCGGCGAATATTAAAACATCCATTGCTGTGTCTTTTGTTCGTTTCCGGGCGTAACTGACTTTATATTTATCGAATTTATCGAATTCTCAATGCATTTACTTCTTTTATTTTGCTCATCTTTGACCAGCAAAATTTAATATATAATGAAATAATAATATTTATTATTTGCAATAAAATGCGGGGAAGTAGTAAAAATAAAATATATAATAATAAAAGTAATAAATAATAATGAATAATAATGAATAACAATAAATAGTAGATGTCTCTCATCCGATAAATACAAAGTTAATTAAGTCCGAAAACAAGACGGTCCCCACGAGCCTAGTAACGCAGCTTGCGCTAATTAAGAGCACAGAAACGTCGCAGAACCATGATCTAGATTCCAGATCGTTTCTAAGCTGTTTGCGCGCTCAACTGCCTCGCGATGCATCGAATTCCCCGAGACATTTCCACGGAGTTCGGTTGCGTCTAGAAACAATATTTGCATCTCGTCGCGTCTCCCGCGATAACGAACCCGTCGCGGTTTAACGCGGCCAGGGGACACAGATAGCGGGAAGATTTTCGACGGTTCGCCCCGGTGCGACACGCCGCCAATTAAATCGGAAGCGGCCCGGCGATCCGCCGGGCTCTCTCCCACAGCCGGAGGTGTCCATCATCCTCGATGGACACGAGGAAAAACGAGCTGCTCTCCCTCGACCCCAGCATCTCGAATCGGACGAGCTTGCTTTTTACCGTGTTTCGCATCCTCATCCCCTCGGTTTCTTGGATTCGCGAGATCGTCAGGTTCTTCTAAAAGATATTCTTGTTACTTATTCGTTTATTTGTTTAGCAGCAATTTTTCTACAAAAATTCTACGATATAATAACGATGATAACGATAATTCTAATATAATAGTAGTATAAATATTTTTCTGCGAACTCTTGCGAAATTCTCTTCGTATTTTTTGGCGTTCCATTAAAATTTGTTGGATTGTCGCGAAAGTTCTTCTTCTTTTAACTCTGGCAAAGTTGACATTTCCGATGATTTTTAGGCAGTTGAGACTAGGATTATTTATTCATTTTGATGAGAACGATAATTTTTTTGTCGCTGGAACCACGTGAAATTATTAGACCGTCGGGAAAAGTACTTCCTCTTGTAACGCTGTCAATTTTTCTTGAAAAGAACATTGATGTTCTTGTAGGACCTAGCTTAAACAGCTAACAATTCGAACTGCTAATTACCAATTAGAGCGTGGGATCTTTGTGCGAAATAAAAATAATCTGCATCTCTGTTGCAAGAAAGAATTTCCTCACGGAGTGAAGAAATCTCTTCTCTAATAACTTTAACCAATTGAAAATTGGTATTCTGCAATTATTGAAAATTTGCTTCAAATCGCACTGATCTTTCCCATAAACGCATAAAATCCTCAGTCTAATAATTAGGCTAAAGTTCGAAGTCTCCGTCGCAACAAGGGGTTGCAAATCGTCGTCCACAAGCTCGCGATTCCAGATCGGCAATCACCCTCGAGAGGTTCACCAAAATTCTAGCACGCAGCCTCGGGGAAAGTCGCGAAGCTTAATCGAGCGATTTTCTCGATCGCGGAGAATCAGTTCGCTACCAAGATGGCGGCCGCGACAGCGACTCATCCTTGCGCGCTGCGATCTCGAGAGATAGAGATAGAGAGCGAGAGAGAGAGGCTTGGACTTTGAGTCCGACTCGAATTCGATCCTCGGCGTCCACGTTACCGTCAACGACGGCGGAATCTCATTAATCGAATGACGCGTGTACGGAGCAAGTACGTGCTTGGCGCGCAAACGCGCGCGACGTCCACTCCACGGTGAGTAGATTGCGCTCACGTACGCCAATGGGACGTTGGATGATGCCGTAGTGATTCCCACGTCACGTCATCGAGCGCCGCTTTTTAACTAGCACTTGCTGCCTCGAGTTTTCCGAAGCCGACGCCCGGAACGGGGGGCGGGAGGGGGCCAGGAATCCGCGATCTTGCGCGTGTCACGATCGTCTCCAGATCGTTCCGATGATCTTCGATGATTTCTCTCGAAACGATTAGTTCCATTGATCCATTGATTCCATCGATTTCATTCAGTTATCGGGCGAAATTGCTCTTTGTTGTCTCGAGTTTCACGCAAAAGGGTGCGGTTATCCAAAATTTAGGTGATCGAGCGATTCGAGCGAGATTGTAGCAGGTATCTTGATCCTTTGCACTCGAATTGCGACTGTGATGCATCGATTGATTTTATTGTAGCGCATTTTCCAGCGATTTTTATATTATTATGTTATATTGTTAATCCTTCGGTCGGCGCATTGACGACATATTGACGGTATTTTAGGGTGTTTAAAGGTATCTTAAGGTACGTTGGAGTGTTTGAAAGTGTCTCAAGGTTATTTTGGAGTATTTGCATTCATCCTAAAGTACCTCAGACTATTGTAGGGTACTCCAGATTATCTTAAAGTATTTTGGAATATTATAAGCTATTTTTGAGTGTTTTAAGGTACCTTGGCGTGTTTTAAGGTATTTCGGAGTGCTTCAAGGTACTATGAAGTGTCTTAAGGTATTTTGGAGTAGTTTAAAGACATTCCAGGGCATCCAAAAGTATCTTAGACGGCTCATCCTCGGCCCAAGTCGTCGGCGTGCGCCCCAACGCTCGCTTCCGGTTTCGATCCGCGTTGCAGCCGTCGCGAACGTTCGACCCCGACACGGCTCTCGTTGTAAGAGCCTCGGCAAACACAGCGTCCCGATGCAAACGAAATGTGTTTCATCGAGCACTGATCAGCCCGAGCAAATATCGGTGGTGGTGGTGTCGTCTCGCCTAGCTCGAACGTAGGCGTCGCGTTGATGCGTTCGAACACGAAGTTTGATTTAAGCTAATTGCCACTCACGGACTTTTGATGTCTGCGTGGAACCCGCAAAAGGTAAATTGCATGGAAATACGGGAGCCGGTCCGCGATGCCGCGACGCGTTATTGTCAAGGGCAGGTGCACGCGCGCGCCCGTAGGACGTTAACGACGCGCGCATATTTTATCACCCTGACACACTTCGAAAACGATATATATTGATATGACCGCGGTTGCTGCGGACCGTGTCGCGCCGTTCGGAACCATCCTCGTCGTCGTCGTCAACGTCGTCGTCAACGTCTCCTCTCTTTTTCTCTCCCTCTCTCTCTCTCTCTCTCTCTCTCTCTCGCTCCCTTGAGACGCGCGGAGACCACCGTCGGGCCAGCCTCCAGCCGGAAATCCGCCTTCGAAACCGGCGACTTCCGCGCAGAATGCTCGATCATTTGCGCCCGGAAACGCTCGGCTCCAAGCGCCACTCTCTAGTTGCCTGAGAATTTTCGGCGACCAGTGTCCCATGTGTCCCACGTCGGAACACTCCGATGTCTCTCCGGCCAGCCGCGCCAGGTTATCGTCCCGAGGACCAGGTGGTGGCACACCATCGTTCAATTTTTATCAGCCGACGATCCCGTCCCGACGAAGCTGAACGAACGGGGACGGGTCATTGTCTTGCCGCGGTGCTGCACCAACGCAACGCCAAGCTTCCGTTCTGCTTCCTACAGCCAGTCGTTTTGGTCTCGACCCCTGCCTCCGTGTATTCGGGAGCCCTTCGGTCGGCAAACTCGCGCGTCTTCCTCTCAGTTTCACGCATAATAACCCTTTCTCCCAAGGGTTGGTGTTCCCGGGCGGAAATCGACTGCCGGTTATTTTGCAGATGACATTTCGAAAATGTGCTGTCTGACAGCGTTCTTCGCGGTGATTTGGTATCATTTTGTTAA